TGCATGTCTGAAACATTATAGGGTTTTTTTTTCCCTGCAATTTTCAAACCATCATGATCATGTGCACAATTTTTGGTGTTCATGCACTGATTCTATCAAACTGCTTTTGACTAAGTGCAACATATTATTGAAGTTTCTTAACCTGTCATCAAATTGTTTCCAAACCTTCAATAGGGTTCAACATTTGAAAGCAAATCTATTCCATATGGATGACCAGGTGTATATGATCATTATTATGCACATTCTGTACACGCACCAAAGTAGCTCCCTCATTCGATTACCCTATGATCCTGTCTCAGCAGCTATATAATCACGTGATCAAGATGTTAACAGATGTTTGCTTTCTTAAAATACAAATGTCAGGCTATTTAAAAGCTATGATTGCTAGGTATGAGCATTAGAAGTCATCTTAAAACTCTCACAGTTCATCACAAAAGTTCTAAGGAAACAAACCTTATATTGCTTCTCATTACAGTATTAAGGCTGTTTTCTAATTTAAACTTATCCCCCACTTATGTTACTATTTTTCTATCTGGCAGATTTTCAAATGAATGAGGCAACATTGGTCAGTCATTCAGTAGGGTTTCTGTGAGAGGGTAGCTGGTGTGTCAGTGGCAGAAGTCAATCTAAAGAGATCCTTTGTTTACAAAGATTAGTTTACATATAAAATTTATTAGAAATGAAGCAACATATGCAACTGATTTTTAAATATGCTTATCATTTAATAATGTACTTTTCATTAGCCAGTAGAAAAATATTTTTAAAATCACAATTAGCTATTCATTTTCACCAATTGGTTAGGTGGCTAAATTATTTTTAAATGAATTTCCATCTTTCAGATGAGATTGTCTTCCAAGATGGAAAAAAAAACAACTTGCAAATTTCTCCTACCATTCTCCACCATAAATTTGTGTGAGCATATTTACTTTATTGAAACACGTAAGACTGTTCTTTTGATGGTTAGCCAAATGTTGCAAAACTTTTTCAAATAAAATTACAACAATGAAATTAAATTTGTATGTGATTATTAAACACCTTCCAAGTTGTAACTTATTCCATCAAAAATGTTATTTATGTTGAATAAAATTTGTGAAATAAATTTAATATGAAATCTTGCTGGATTACTTCAATTCTTAAAGAATGTCCCAGACAAAAGTATTTGTAATTTTTTCATAATTATAGTTTTATAATTTTATATTGTTTTTATAATTAAGGGCAAAAAAACAGTGTATAATTATATAAATTTAAATTGAAACTTTTGGAGCACAAAAATAATTATTGTACTTATTGTAAGCAACTAATGAATAAATCTAAAAGAATATTGAGTAGCATATTTAAATACCTTGGGGCTTCACAACACATCTTGTTGTTGCTGAAAGGGATTGAAGGAACAAATGATGTTGGAATCAGTGCTCCAACTTTTCATTGTCTGCACAAACCACTTAATTCCAGCATAATTTCCATGAGTAGTCATTTCCTGCCTATATACAACTTCATATTTTGTGATTTTATTTGATGCTCACCGATGTATTCATTCATTAACAAGCACATATCGAGTACCAACTAAGCACAAATTGGAAGAGATAGTACAGTGTGATGGCTAGAAAGCACGCCTCAGAGTCAGGAAGCCCTGTGTTCATCGCTGTTGCTGTTGTTATACCAAACTTAACAACAGCAAGTTGTACTAACACATCTGCTTAATGCCAAAATTTCAGCCTCTGGCCAACAGACTAAATTATTATTATTATTTGTTTTGTTTTGTTTTGAGGCAATTGGGGTTAAGTGACTTGCCCAAGGTCACACAGCTAGTAAGTGTCAAGTGTTTGGTCTGAGGCGATTTAAACTCAGGTCCTCCTGACTTCAGGGCTGGTGCTCTATCCACTGCGCCACCTAGCTGCCCCTCAGACTAAATTATTGAAGGCATATTTTTGTTTTAACCAAGAGATCTAATGGGAAAATATCATCCAATAATACTTTAAACATATGCTGAATCAACTGAAATAATGATTTTCATTGTTAGACTGAGAAAAAGGGGGAAAATTAAAAGTATGTTTTAATGGGGCCTTAAAATTTTAACTTCTAATGTAGCTAAGATGCTTTTAATCTTGAACAGAACTCCACTGCCCTCTTCTGTTTTTGAAGAGAAAGCACACTGATATCTTATTTTGGCAATTCTAATCATTTATCTTTAGAAATAATTAGGTAATTTTCTCCAGTTTATCAACTATCAATTAATAAACTATACGAGAACAATAAAATAACAACACAGAAGCCTGCTCATGTTACTATGTTATCTCTGATGAATTCAAGAAAGCAAAAGAATGAGTGCCATTATTTTTAATGTTGATTATTTAGAGTTTCTATCTGTTTTGCTTAGCTTCAGGAAGCTCTAATGTTTATATTTATCTAGTCATTCTCTGAAGATAAAAGGTGAAATAATATGCTTACCAAAATATTGATTCAAAAAAGTTTTATTAGCAAGTTATCTGCAGAAATCTGGCTTACAATATCAAACGTGAAAATTACAAAATCAACCAATCCCTCCCCCTGCGACAAAAGTCCAAATTAACCCCTCCAAAATCAATCAACAAACATTTATGTATATATAGATTTCAAAATGAGGTAACTGGCATTTATTATTTCATTTGATCCTCAAAAACCCCGTGAAAAAAATACTAAAGTATTCTTATCACCCCCATTTTACAGATAAGGATACTGAGGCTGATGATGAAAGCAATAAAAATACTCAGAAATTACTAGATACCAAGACACAGTATTAATGTTATCTATTCATGTGCTAACAATATCTTTTTGTTTGCATAGATGCACATGTGCCTTAAAACTTTTCAGAGTGCTTTTATCATCCACATGGCATCATTCGGCCCAGACAACATTCTCCCAAAGCAGGAGGGCAGATAGTACTTTGTCCCTTCCAGTGTGACAGCCATACTCCTATGACTCATTTGACAGAAGAGGAAAAGATGTGAAGAAGTAACTTGCTCAAAGTCACAAAAGCTAGTTAAAAATGATAATCAGGACTAAATGTAGATCTCCAGATCCTAAAATCTTCCACTAGGTCTTGTGTTTATAAAGTTCTAAATTTGACCATGGCACTAAAGAATAATATGACTCACAAAAATCACCCATACTTTTACTCTCTCAAAAATCATGTGTCTGTACTACAATAACAGAGCCAATTTATGGGTTACTAACAGTACTCTGGTCAAGATAATTTCCAAAGATAATCTAGGAATAATTCACTAAAATTCATACAGGGTTTTAAGGTTTACAAAACACTTTATTCACAACAACCCTGTGAGGTAGGTGGTAAAAGCATCATTATATCCATTTCTTTTAGGAGGAAATTGAGGCTGAGTAAGGGTACGTGAATTGCTCACAGCCATACAACTACTGTGAGCGTGAGTCTGCACCTTTAGTCACATGGTTAGTATGTCACCATGGGTTCAGCTAGTCAGTCCACACTCAATCTCAGCCTTCTATCTCCAATATCCCTGTCATCATACAATGCTGCCTCCCATATACAGAAAAGGAATTTGCAAAATTGTGGGGAAGCTGCAATTTCAAAATCATTAAGCCAAATACCAGGTTAGTCTGGTAGCTAGAAATTATACAGTAGCACTTCCTATTTATTGATATTGTTTCTAGGTAATCAAGGAAGCTATATTAAATTTAACTATCCCAGTAGCATCCAGCATACCTTTAAGCTGATCGGAAATAAAACCAACCCTTATGTGATTTTATGCCAGATTGTTATACAGAGGAAAAAAAATCACCTGTGCACAAAGATGATTGTGGTACCAGGGGTACTGATGACTATCCAAAGTTCAACTATCAAAGTTATAAGGTAACTATAAAGAGAGCTGTTGTACCAAGTGCTGAATAACAGAAATGAGCTTCCAAATCATCCAGTCCCTGACTTTGCACAGATTAAATTCCAAAGAATATACCAAAATAAAGTATAGACAAAGTGAACAAAATGCTGACTCATAAACTCTTAACTCAGGATTACTAGAGTTGCACGGATAACCACAAAATCATTCGTATTTGCCTTTCAAGTGCATTGTGATTTCTGCAGAGAGATTTAACTTATTAATTTTATTTTATTTAGGCCAACATTGAAATGAACTAGAGTTATGAAAACCTAACAGAGGTCTCAGAGGGTGGCTGGCTGGGGTATGTGCTGACTTGTGATGGAAAACACGCTGGGAGTAAACGTGCTATAACTAATTCAGGGTACATAATACTGTCAAGTGATGTAGGGAGTACATGATAATGACAGGAAAAGGTGGTTAGCTGAGAAATACGCTAACGTAGCATCAAGTACTGGAATAAACAAGAACAGACTGAAAATTGGTTATAACTAAGCTGGTAGATTACATGAAAGAATGGTACAGGAACAGAAACACAGAAAGAGAAAAAACATTGATCTCAGCAACTCAAAATTTTGGGCAAACACCAGCATGTTAATTCTCCCAACACCTCCCTGAGGTAGGCGTATTTAATTCTTTTTTACCTTCCACATTTACTAAGGAAACTGGCCTAAGAAGCAAAAGCTTACAACCTTTTATTTTTTAAATCTTTCGTGGTAAAGTGCATAGGTACTACTATATTACTAAATTAAAAGAATTAAATGACATACTTCATAGCCATAGAAACAAAATGAGCTCAATGGCATGCTTTTGATGTCCTAAAATCCATGTCTGCTGCCTAACAATCTCACTTGCCATCCACTGTATGGATTATAACAGTTTGAGACTTGCAGATTGTTTTTGAGAAAGCATTGAAAAATATCCTTCAACTCTTACATCTATATCATTACTCCCCACCCCAAAGGCAACCTTCCATGGGAAAGTGATTTGGTTCAACATCAAAACGATGTACCTTTTATCCCAATTCTTTGGAATCATCACATTTTCTCCCTTAAATTGCTCTTTAATCTAAAACAAAAGAAGCTAAGATGTGATGGTACCAATAAAGTATCTGGATTCAATGATTTATTAATAAAAAAAAAGTTTCCTGAAACATTTCCTAAAAAGAATATGCCAGAACACTAAATTCTTATAGGAGCATTTAGTCATTAATGAGAAAATCACAAAAACTTTCCACTGGAGCATCTGTAATGGTCATTCATTGGGAAAAGTAAATTTATGAATATCTAAGGGAAGGAAGATAGTTATTTATTTTAATGGGACATATTTCTGAACTTGTTCTGCCCCAAGTTCTGCCACATAGATCGCTCCAGTTTTCCTATCAACATCCACAAGATGGGGTGACACTTGACTGGCTAGCTGGACTGTGCTTACCACAACACAGTCCCCAATATTCCCTATAGGGGGTGCAGATAATAGAGCGAGCCTGTTGATATTCAACTGGGCAACAATGAGGTATTTCTCATCCGGAGTAAACCTACAAAAGAACAATATAAGAAATGCATCATAAATGTATGTGAAATGTTCTAAATATGACAACCATTTTAACAGACTATAACTTCAGAACAAAGATTAGTTACACATTGGTACCCCCTACAGCACGCAGCCCAGTGCCAAGTACACACCAGACACATCCCTGAAGATTCATAGGTTAATTTACTATTTAAAGGAAGAGCGTGAAAAGCTAATTTGGCAATACTCAATAGACAAAGTCTTAGAAAGAGTCCTTTATAAGTGAGTGAAGCTGGAGGTGTCAGTCAGTGGTCAGCCTACAGATCCCGCCTCCAGGGAACTTGAGGGAAGCTGACCAGGCATCTCTTCTCACACCAGTGTTTACTGGCTGCACATTTAGGAGCCCGATGCTTGTCTTTGCCTTGGGTTTGATATGCCATACCATGACTAGTTCTCTGACTGTTCTTTTCTCTCTCTTCCTTCATAATCTTCATTTTTTCTACCTTTTTTCTTTGCTTGCAAATTTTAACATTAAACAGATTCTTAATAGTGTACAGAGCTCTTCCAGAGGAATGGTGCTACAAATCTAATAGCTTTAAAAATCTCTCTTTAAATATTACCTGACAGAATAAGGACCATCTTCTTTGAAACAATCACTCCACGATCCCAACCACTCTCCTGTATTTTTATCAAATACTTGGATTCTTTTGTTTCCTCTGTCAGCAACCCATACCTAGGAATCAATTAAATGGTTATTAGTAAAGGTCTACATTGAAAACATTTTTTTCAAACACATGGCTTATTGTATACAACTGAACTACTATATAATAACATAAAATATTAGGTATTTCACTGAAAAAAAAACAAAAGAAAAAAGTAGCTCATTTTTCTATTAAAAGATCAGTTAAAAAAAAAAGTCAATGAAACAAGTAGCCCCATATTGGACCCACTATTTCACAGATAACTCTATATGCTTGGCAGCTAAATCATTTTGATCATAATTTGTGATAATCCACCAGCTGGTATGGTCCAGTCTTTATAAAGAATAAGTGTCAGAGACTCAGAAAAAAGTTACTTTAATTGCAGCGCTGTAATAATATACTGTGGTTGACTCATTTGACTTGGAAAACCCGTATTTATTCAATGTCAACAGATATTAAAAAAAAAGACATGGTGAGCATAAGTAGGCACAGAATATTATCAACTCCAAGGTGTGCTTGTAAAGTGGCACAAAAGGCAGCAACAAAGACTTACAACTGGGAAGTGGGGGAGCAAGCTAACATGTATCAAAATAAACAAAACAAAACACAATGCTATATTGCATTAACCTCCAGTAGCCTCCATGGGTATTTATTTGTAGAAAAAGATGAAAAGGAATATTTCAGAGAATAAGTAACCATGGATGGGCTGGAACCCATTCTGGGGGTGAGAACTGCCAGATGGCTAAGCTCACCTATAGAGTGAATCCCTGACAATTCCTATGTCAAGAAACTCGGCTTGGCCAGTCAAGTGAGCTTCCAGGAGCTGGGTGAGTGACCACCATCACCAATCTTGTTTAGGAATGAGTAACAAAACTTTCGCATACTACAGAAGAAAGGTTCAGGTTTGAAATCTCTCAATCTCCTTTAATCACGAGGGATTCTAAATTAAGAACACATTTTCTTCAAGTCTTAAAATTTCCATCCCTGACAAAAATCAAAATTGCTTACAGACCTAAAGTTTAATAGCACTCTTCAGTTTGCCAAGTGCTTTACACACGTCTCATTTGACCCTCGAAACAGTCCTGAGGTAGTGATTAGTTACATTTTACAGAAGAGGATACTGAGGTTCACAAAGCGGAAACTGATTTGTCCATGGTGGCACACCTAGTATTAGAGAGGTATTCAAAGCCAGGTCTCACATGACTTCAAAACCAGCATTTTTTTCTGCTACAAAAATGAATGAAACTTTGAATTGTTGAAAAGTTTTTCACCTACATTTTAAAGGACTTAGAGTATGGGTAATATGATTTTTTAAAACAATGAAGTACTTTCTTATCTCTTAAGCACTTACATATTTAATGTTTCAAGTAAATGTGTAGTTAGATATAGGCAGAAAAATGTTTTTACCCGACCAGTTGAATCAACTGTTATGCTATGTGGAATGTTGAATTGACCTGGACCTGTTCCATTTTCCCCACGAATCCACTGCATCACAAAATCTAGATAAAAGAAAACATTAGATCACATATAGTCAAATTTATAGAACGAAAGAAGTATCCCTTCAAATAATCACAACACAGAATATCTCATTAAAAGGTCTATGGTTACATGGTTGAGTCAAAAAGTATCATATGAAAGGCATATGGCTATATATTTAAGAGTCAAAAAAACTACGTCAAAACTTCAAATCTGAAGGAATTTCATCTGCTCTCCCATACCCTCCCCCAAAAGCTGACTTAATTTTCCATCTTCCTTTTTATACTTCCTCTTTCATTAAGTACCAATTATCAGTAGAGGGAATAAAAAGTACAAACAAAACAGCTCCCCTCCTCAAGGAGGGGACACTGGTGGCATAAAAAGATAAGGAAATACAAAATATTCCCCAGAAAATTGAGGTAACCTATTAGGGCAAATCGGGGGACACCTGACATGAGGAAGGAGTTCATTCCAAGAAAGGGATATAACTTATATAAAATGCACAATGATGGGAGTGGTAAGTTTGAAGAACAATCACTAGTCCAGTTTGGCTCAAATGCAGAGTTCATGAAACATGGCTATAAACGTAGTTGGGAGCCAGATAACAAAAGGCCTTATATGCCAGACTAATGTCTATAGAAAAGATCACCAATATCATCACTCTTCTAGTCTTCCCTGCTAGCTTTGAAGTCACCTGTAATACTCTTCTCTCCTTGAGCTCTCAAATTTGTTCAAACTCTGTTATGGATTAAATGATTACCTCTTTGAAAGATCTCTAAGCCTCTCCCCTGTGTTCCAATCCTACTTTACCAACTCCCTACAGGACATTTCTAACTGGATATCCTGTAGGGAACCAACTCAAAAACTTTCCTCCCAAACAATCCCTCTTTCTAATTTTCCTCAATCTGCTAGTCACTCAGATGGGCAACCTTAGAGTGATCCTCAAATGTTTACTCTCCTTCACTCAACATCTAGTCAAGTTTTATCAATTCCATGCCTCACCACATCTCTTACATCCTTTTCTCCACTCACACTATTTCAGGTCCTTATTACCTCACATTTGGACGGCAATAGCCAAACTGGTGTTTCTGCCTCTATCCCCTCTCTTCTCAAACCAATCATCTATCCAGCTAGCAAAGTGATATTCCTAAACACAAGGCTGACCATGTTAACTGCCTCATTCAAAAAGCTCCATGGCTTGCTATTGTCTCTAGGATAAAATACAAATTCCTGGGTTTGACACTTTAAGCCCTTTGCAATCTGACTGTAGTCCACTGTTCCAGGCTGACCAAACATTCCTTACTTTCACATAACTGATAGTCCCCATACATGAGACCCCTGCCTTTGTGAGGACCATCATCCTTGCCTGGCATGCACTCTCTTTCCAATCTGACATCTTAGAATCTCTCATTTCCTTCAAAATGGAGCAACTGTGCCAGCTCTTACATGAGGTGGTTCCTAATTCCTTTAGCTACTAGTGTCTCCCTTAATTAGCTTGTACATACTGCAGATTTATATGCCCATGTACTGTTTCTGCCTCTCTCCCTCTTCCCATCCCCAACAGAACTCAAGTTCCTTGAGGGAAGGGATGGTTTTATTTTTGCCATTCTCTACATAAGAAATGTTTCTTAGATTCATTTTCTATTCCCACTTCATCAATTTAGTTCATGCTTTCATTATCTCATGCCCTGATTATTACAAGAGTCTCCTTGTTGGGAGTCAGACTGAAATCTCTCCCTACTCCAAATTATCCCTGTACTTAGCTTTATTATCCTACAACACTGCTCTCATGTTACATTTTTTCCACAAAACTTTCCATCAGTTCTACAAGATACTAAGGGTAAAAATCACACTTTCAGGCCTCAGCACCTTTTTTCAGCGTCCTCCCCTCTCCCGTGGCCCAGAATGTCGTCCTTTCTACTAACCACTTATTCAAACCCTCCCCATTTTTTCAAGGCTCAGTTCTAGTCCCACTTTCTTTATGCAGTCTTCCTTACTGAGTCTGCCTACATTTAATCTAATCTTTCCCTTCTTTAATCTCATTTACAGAGTAATCCCAAAGTTTTAGTGCAGTTTTAAGCTCTAAGATTTTGGAACACCCAGCATTATTTAAGTCAGTACCACAGTTTAGCACTTAAATAGTTTTCTAATTGTTTGAGTATTAGCTATACCTTCCCACCTGCATTATAATTGTTTACTCCTATTAGAATCAAATAAATGATTAATTCTTAGACTCAAATTTAAACCTCTTTATCCTTAACATTTTCTTCCTTATGGTCACCCAGTCACTTTTTCAGCTCCCTAAACTCATTATTACTCCTATATAAACTTCACTTTACTGACCTACTCTTCTGAGGTTAAGGAATGACTCATTAAGAAAAATCACACCATGTGCCAGTCATTTTCCATACAATATATCCAAATGCCATGTGTATAGCCTTCTAGAATAGTGGTCTCCTAATTTTTTTGATCATATACACTTTTATCAGTAAAGTTTTTTTGACCATGCACCCCAATATATGACTATTTACTTATTTTCGTGCGTGCGTGTGCGTTGCTTGTGTGTGTGTGTGTTACTAACTGTGCTAAGGTAAAGATGAAATACGTCTCTCTAAAGTCAACAGGGAGCCACTGCAATTTATTGAGAGAGACACGGTCAGGAATATCTGTGTGGCAGCTGAATATGGGTGTAGTACAGGCAAGAGGAGATGAGGGCCCAAATGAAGATGATAGCTATGAGTGAAAAGGAGGGAATGTATTTGAGATACTGAGATAATCAACTGTGAGGAGTGTAGGAGAGTAAGGAAAGGAAGACGACTCATTAAGTTGAGAACTTGGGTAAATGAATACAAACAGAGAAGTTCCAAAAAGGGGTAGATTTTTGGGGGAAAATAATGCAACAAGATCTGTGATATGGATCATAGCTCAGCCATTTCTAGTCATCCTATACAGTGCACTCTGTCCCACTAATACTATCACTAAAAGTAGTAGGATAGGATTCACCAGCCCTCTGAGGCCACTTTGTCACAGACCCAAGTAGACAGGGGTGGGGTGGGGTACTGAACACAGGTAAACCCAGAAGGATCAATTCTACCTGTGCAGTTCCCTATACAGCAGTCCCAGGTAGGTTATGTGTCCTGAAGAGTCTATGCCCTGAGCAGAAGGGTGGAGTTGGGGAACTCATATAATCACTGGAGTGTGTATGGGTGACCTGGGGGAACACTGGAATATTGGGGACAAGTCAACTGGCTAGCACACCAAGTGTGGCCTGCGATTCATCTTCTCATAAACTAATTGGTCACCTTTGGATCACACCATGGTTCCCTGTGGTTATAAGCCCTAACTTAAGATCACTCCTCTAAATGACTCTAGCACCAAAATGAGGTTTTATACCTTGGGTCAATTTAAGCAGTCTGTTATTCAATCCTCCATCTCCATCCACAAGATAAATTTCTCCAGTGTCTTCCACATATATCTCTGCTGGATTATCAAACTGGATTGGATTTACACCAGTCCCTTTTTTGCCTGGGGTACCCAGAACTTGAATGAGGTCACCAAAGGAGTTGTATTTTTTCACTGTATGTCCATAGGATCCTGCATTTAAAATAAGTACTTTTCACAAATAAAGCTCTTAGACAAATGTTTAAACAGATTGTACATTAAATGAAAAAAAAATGAAGGGAAAAAAAATCAGAAAAGACTGGGAAGGGGTGGATAATGAGGTACTGTATTCTGATATACACTATTATCTAAATTGTTACTACATAAAATCTCAATTGTTTGAGGTTGATTTGGACTCTCTAATTTTTTAAAATGACATTTCTTTTTATACTGAGCCTTCTAGACTGACTTGATTAATGTTGATTATTTTAGAAGAGAGATTTTCTGTTAGAAATGTTACTAAATTACTAGAACTAAGTAAATGTGACCTTTTGAACCTATTTTGACATCACATAAGCATTTGTAATTAAGGGATTTAAGTACTGAGGGGTAACTTTCAAAAGACCATTAGCTTGTAACTTCAACTTCTCTATTTTAATATCCAAGTTTTTGTAGGCCCCTGGAGGGCTATAATTTCTATAATACAAACATACTATTTTTTTCTTTTGGTACTCATAATTCAACTCTTTTTAAGGCAAGAATAAATGTTCTAAAATTACCAGTGTCTTAACTTTTTATTTAGATAGTTGTTTCCATGTAAGATTTTCTTGCAAGCAAAAGCATGAAACATATCTCTTTTGAAGAATTAGGGGAATTATCATAGAGAAAACTAATGGAAATCAATATGGAGGTTCAAAACTAACTAAATTTATAATATGAAATGTCACAAAAGTAACAAATTGCATAACATGAATTTAAAGTAACCTGAATCAATTTCTAGGTGTCTTTTTAAAAAATAATTAAAAGTTAAGCACAGTATGGTAGAATGGAAAGGGCATGGTTCTCTTGGACTCAAGTCAGTCCAAATCCTGTCTCAGACACTAAAAGGGTATGTAGCTTTTGGGCAAGTCACTTACTCTCCTGTGGTTTCAGTCTCCTAAATCTGTAAAATAGGGAGGCTGAACCAGTTGGCCTCTAAAAGTCCGTCCCTTCAACCTCCAGATCCTATCGTCTGGAGTCTTGATTAGTTAGTGAGAATAATTTCAAAGGCGAACCACAAGATGTTTGGATGGGTACAAGAAGAATTATTATAAAGTACTGAGTACATTATTATAAAGAAATACAAAAAGGGAAAGAACCTCATTTTAAAAAATGAAATAATGCTGATTAGGAGCCAACTTTCTGATTATTGCAACTGATTTTCTTTTAGGTTGAGGTAACTAGGAAAAACTTTAACACATCTGTGGTTAGGAAAAAAAAAACCACAATGAAAGAAGAAAGAAAATTTGTCTTATTTCCATATGTGCGATTTAGTGGAATGTCATAAAACAGAATCACAGGATGAACTGTGTTTAAAGTACAAGTCCTTTATCAATGAGAGCTTGAAAAAGAGAGACAGGTCAAATCTCCCTACAATTAACTCAGAGACAGTATTGGTTTTACAGCTGCCCTAGGATGCCATCATAGCAAAAATGCTATAAAAAAAAAAGAGTCCTCAATTGAAACTTTGAGATCTTCTGGTGTAACAATATTTACTGTATATGGGCCTTTTTTTAAGGTTTTATCAATTCTAAAATCATTAGGTCTAAAAAAAAAAAATCCCAAAACCTTTAATGAGTGACATTTTCATTAAAGGACTCAGAAACTAGGTATCTCATTAAAGAGACAAGTAGGTAATCAAGTAGAGAGGTTGAACCTGAAAGTTGGGAAGGTCTGAGTCCAAATCTAGCAACGGATACTTACTGGCCATGCATGACCCTAGGCAATCACTTAACTTCCACCTCAGTTTCCTTACCTGTAAAATGGGGATAACAGCATCTGCCTCTAAGGGTTGTTGTGAAGACTGAATGAGTTAATATTTGTAAAGTGCTTCTCACAGTGCCTGGCCCATGGTAGATCCCTAAATGCTATTATTACTATTGGTGTTGTTACTGTTATTAAGATCCAGTCAAGTAGAGGGCAGAATTTGATTCGAATTATACACTAACAAGTATAATACTACAAGATTTTTACTCTAATAGTATAAAATAAAAATCTAGATTTACAAATCGGATAAGTTAGGGGAGAATTCATTTTTAAAAAGGAAACTTTCCTCAGTTTTCCTAAAGCATTTAACATTTTACTTGATAAGTAACTTTTTCAGAATTCAAAATTTAAAATTTAAATTAAAATTTAAAAACTGTGCAAATATACACAAGTCATAAATCAGGTAAATGTGACCACCTAAAATAGGAGAATTTTAAATTTGTTATGTTTAAAAATGTCAAATAAATTCAATGGAATGTGATGTATAAACAAGCTAAAATCATAACTCACTCTACAAGAATGAATCTGGAAGATAGATTTGGAAAAAGGGGTATATCTGATACAATACTGACTAGAAATTGTCACTTTCATTTTAATTTAAATTGAGGAAACTAGTTTATGAATTTCTAGACCAGGGAAACTATGCATCTCTCAAATATATATCTCCTTTGTAAAGTTTTTAATAAATTCAAGGCCACTGCTATTTCCCAAATCCTAGGTCACAAATTCAAAGCGTCTTTTTTCCCCTCCATACCTGAATCTAAACGTGTTGCTGATAAACCTTAGTTTTCCCATTTTGTTGGTATACTTGGTAGAAACAAGTGAGTGATGTCATTGGGGTTACAGAAATTTTTACACCAATTATTATACTATAACTCCTTTTTTGAGTAAACATGTTAACAAAAAATTAATTTCGCTAGTGGTAGTCAGTACAAATTGTCTTCAAAAAATAGCTATTTGAGATCAATTGTAGAAGAAAGAAAAACCACATTCCACTTGTGTTTCCTGTTCTTTCTTAATAAAAGGGGCCAGATTTCTGCAGTGTATGTGTATACACCTAGATAGACAGATATGCCTATATCTATCTATATTTTTCCCCAACACAGAAAAATAAATTACAATTTAAAAATCCACGCACACATTTAGTAACAAGAATTTTCTTTTGAAACAATAATGTTCTAGCATTAAATGCAAAAGAATGATGTGATAGGCTGATAAAAGCTCAAGTTAAGTAGGGAATACAAAATGTAACCAAACTAGGTTATCTTTTCCCTCTCTGGCTCATTTTAAAGAATTCTTTGTCACATTAATAGCAAGCTTGGGAATCAGACTAGTAATTACAATTCATCAATCTGGAGAGGCTGTAGTATAATCAAATATGCTTCATTACCTTTTCCTGGAGGCAAATGATGGGGACAAGCCCAGAGTTCAGATACCCTACAAAGAGGAAAACTAGGCCTTCTACCATAAATAGATCTCCTCCACAGTACTGACCAAAATGGAGACAGGTTCAGTCTGTTTGGGCTACTCAGGGATCAAAGCCAATGTTATCCTGACCCAGCCTAGTTCAGTGATTCTCAGTGCTGGGCCACCAAGGAAGATGCGTAATTGCTGGTGTTAGTGTGGTAAGAATCACCAATGAGCCTACAGAAGTTGCCACTGTTTATATCCTGGACTGGATTTCTAAGGGGGAAAGAAATTTCTAAGTTTTCTTAGAATTGAAAAATTGACCATTTGAGGAAATCAGCTTTCAAAAAATGAAGCACAAGAAAGAAAATAATGGGAGGAGACATTAAGTTCTTCCATCATAATTTATTAGATGTTACTACACATACCACTTCCTACATCCGTGATCCAGACTGATTGTTCATATTGGGTACTGCTTGCAAAGATACCATGAGGTGTGTCAACAGTGTCATTCCAGGCTCGTAGGAAATATCCATCCTCTGTGAACACTAATACCTTTGGTATGTTATCCCCTCTCTAAAGGTATACAAAAATAGCTGCTTAGACAAGACCAGGTTTAAGCAAATACAATCCTTACTGTGGCAGAGTAAAATAAAATGAAAGCTTAACTGGGAAATCTACAGAATGCTTAAAGAAAACACCACCCCCAAACCTAACATAGTTAACCTGTAAACTCACACCCAAAATAAAATCTTTGGCACTTTCACACTGGTTTAATGCTATGTAATTAAATCAATATAAAATTTAAACTCCAATAAGATCTTTAAGAAACATTACAAATATATCGTAAGTGTTAATGGTTAAGAACTATAGAGAGAAAACATGGCATTGTAGACAGAGGGACAGATAGTCTTAGAGGTAGAAAACAGTTCCAGTCCTGCCACTGATACATACTGGCTGTGTAACCAAGAGAATATCACTTAACATCTCAGTTCTTCCAGGCAACCCTTTCCAGGTTCATCATGTCTTACTCCCTGTCACATACTGTTTGATCCAGGGATACTGGTCTTCTCACTGTTCCAAACAATCAACATTTATTAAGCACCTACTATGTGTTAGATATTGTTCCACAAACAAGACATGCTCTCAGATCTGAGCATTTTCTCTTGCTATTTCCCAGGCCCCAAATGCTCTTCCTCATCTCCACTTCCTGGCTTCCCTCAAGTCCCAACTAAAATCCTATCTACTATAGGAACTTTCCCAACCCTTCTTAATTCTAATATCTTCCCCGTTAGCTATTTTCTAATTATCTTGTATGCAGTTTATTTGCACATATTTGTTTGCTTATTGCCTCCCCCATTTAATCGTGAGCTTCTCAAGGGCAATGGCTGTCTTTAGCTTCTTTTTATATTCTCAGCTCTTAATATAGTGCCTGATACATAGCGGGCACTTAAATGTCTATAGACTGACAAAAAAGAATCCCAAAACTCAAAGATTTAGAAAGATTTTACTGGTTTTCAAAGATAAAGAAAGTTTCCTCATCATACGTTCTCCACACTGCTGAAAACATAAATTAAAAAAAAAAGCCCACTGACAGTTAAATAAAAAATCATATTATTCCCTAAGGAGGGAAAAAAATCCCATTTTTACTTACCTGTGCTACATAAACCAATCTGTGAAGGGAGTCTACTGCAACACAAAATGTTGTGCCAGTGAAGTACTCTGGATATTTAGGCCAGCCTACATCCAAACGGTAAAGAGGTTTCTCTGTCCTCCAGGAAACAACAAAAGCAAAGCTTCCTAAGCCCTTAAACAAAAATATGAGAAACAGAATTAATTCCATTCTAAAGTAAAAGAAGACATTTTAAGAATAACTAGATTTTCCAAGGTTTAGTGAACTTCATTTTTCTCCATAGGCATTCATATAGAATAGCAGTCAGTAAATTATAGGAAATCATTTCATTAGGTTAAAGTAGTTGTTCTTAACCTGGGGGCTTCGGCACAGGGGATCTTATTTTATTTTTTAATTATTTTTAGTCATCAACACTGATTTCCTTTAGATTCTGAGTTTTAAATCTTCTCCCCCTCCTACCCCTTCCCCTTTCCCCTCCCCAAGATGGCATGTAATTTATATAGGCTCTACATATACATTCACATTAAACATATTTTCACATTAGTCATGGTATAATGAAGAATTAGAAGTCATCCTGTTCATCTTTCTTATAGCACAATAGTATTCCATTACATTCATATACCACAACTTGCTCAGCCATTCCCCAATTGATGGGCATCCTCTCAGTTTCCAATTCTTTGCCACCACAAAAAGAGCTACTATAAATATTTTTGTACATGTGGGTCCTTTTCCCATTGGTACGATGTCTTTGGGATATAGCCCTAAAAGTGCTATTGCTGGGTCAAAGGGTTTGCACATTTTGATAGCCCTTTGGGCATAGTTCCAAATTGCTCTCCAAAATGGTTAGATCATTTCACAACTCCACCAACAATGCATTAGTGTTTCAATTTTCCCACATGTCTAACATTTATCATTGTCCTGTTTTGTCTTGTTAGCCAATCTGATAGGTGTGATGTGGTACCTCAGAGCTGTTTTGATTTGTATTTCTCTAATCAATAGTGGTTTAGAGTATTTTTTCATATGACTATAGATGGCTTTAATTTCTTCATCTGAGAACTGCCTGTTCATATCCTTTGACCATTTATCAATTGGGGAATGACTTGTATTCTTATAAATCTGACAATGCTCTATATATTTTAGAAATGAGGCCCTTATTAGAGAGCCTGGTCGTAGAAATTCTTTCCCAATTTTCTACTTTCCTTCTAATCTTGGTTGTATTGGCTCTGTTTGTGCAAAAACTTTTCAATTTCATGTAATCAAAGTTATCCATTTTGCGTTTTGTAATGTTCTCTATCTCCTGTTTGGTCATGAATTCTTCTGTTCTCCGTAAATCTGATAGGTATACTATTCCTTGCTCTCTCAGTTTGCTTACAGTATCAGCCTTTATATCTAAATCATGAACCCATTTTTGACTTTATTTTGGTACATGGTGTGAGGTTTTGATCTATGCCTAGTTTCTGCCATATTCTTTTCCAGTTCTCCCAGCAGTTTTTGTCAAAGAGCGGGCTCTTATCCCAGAAACTGAGGTCTTTGGGTTTATCAAATAATAGATTACTATAGTCGTTGACTACTGTGTCTTGTATACTTAACCTATTCCACTGATCCACCACTCTGTTTCTTAGACAGTGCCAAGCAGTTTTGATGATCGCTGCTTTATAATACAATTTAAGATCTGAAATGGCTAGGCCACCTTTCCCTGCATTTCTTTTGATTAGTTCCCTTGATATTCTGGACTTTTTGTACTTCCAAATGAGTCGTTAGTATTTTTTCTAACTCTATAAAATAATTTTTTTGTCATTTGATCTGTATGGCATTGAATGAGTAAATTAGCTTAGGTAGAATGGTCATTTTTACTATATTAGCTCGGCCTATCCATGAGCAACTGGTGCTTTTCCACTTACTTAGATCTGGCTTTATTTGTGTGAAAAGTGTTTTGCAATTGTGTTCACATAGTTCCTGGCTTGGTGGGTAATATACAGAAATGCCAATGACTTATGTGGGTTCATTTTATATCCTGCAACTAGGCTAATGTTGTTTATTATTTCAAGTAGTTTTTTACTTGATTTTCTAAGTATACCATCATATCATCTGCAAAGAGTGATAGTTTTGTTTCTTCTTTGCTCATTCTAATTCCTTCAATTTCTTTTTCTTTTCTTACTGCTAAAGTTAACATTTCTAGTACAATATTGAATAACAGTGGCAATAATGGACATCCTTGTTTCCTCCCGATCTTACTGGAAATGCTTCTAGCTTGTCCCCATTACGTAGGATGCTTGCTGAAGGTTTTAGGTAGATGCTACTTATCATTTTAAGGAAGACTCCATTTATACCTATGCTCTCTAGTATTTTTAATAGGAATGGGTGCTGTATTTTGTCAAAAGCTTTTTCTGCAACTATTGAGATAATCAGATGATTTGTTAGTTTGGTTTTTGATATGGTCAACTATGCTGATAGTATTCCCAATACTGAACCAGCACTGCATTCCCAGGGCAGCTTAAATAGATTTTAGATGCTTTGTAAACTTGAATGGGGGGGGTAAGGGGGGTAGAAAGTTCTACCTTTACTTTCACTAGTCTGTATCTGAAATTTACCATTTCCTCCGATTATCAGTGTAGGCAATAAACCACAGAGGCATTAGTAGTCATTTTAGCAACTGTTTGTTGTTCAGTCATTTCAGCCATGTCCCACACTTTGTGACCCCATTTGGGGTTTTCTTGGCAAAGACACCAGAATGCTTTGCCATTTCCTTCTCCAACTCATTTTATAGATGAGGGTGCTAAGAAAAATAGGGTTAAGTGATTTGCCCAGGATAAGTGCCTAGGGCCAAATTTGAACTGTATTAGATGTCCTTCTGACTCCAGGCCCAGCACTCTATCCACTGCACCATCTAGAAATCAGTGATTTTCTCATCCCATTAGTTATTGGAGGTAAGTATAAATAGTTAATTCTCACTACCGCTTTGAAATCGCTGTACCACATATTATTCTCTAATATTTTGATAACTATTTCTAATTCTGTGTATTTTGTCCCATGCATTTAAAACCCTTCTTGTAGGACTTTCAGAGAGGTCCACGGCACAAATATGATTACAAACCCCCAAGTTAAAGAACAAGAATCCAGAACTTGGGGAGCAGTACAACTATGCTTACTTTACTTTACCTGAGGAGCACAAACGGACCTTTATTGGCTGCAGGTGTATAACGGACCTTATTTTGGGGATGGGGTGCTGTGGTTATCGGGAGGACCTAATCCCCCAAGTTCCTACTAGGTGCCAGCTACTCACGCATTCACATACGTCCCTAAAGGTGAATCCTCCCTCCCCACCAGACTCACCGGCGACCTGCAGAAGCGGGAATGGAAAACCAAAAGGGCCAGGAAAAAGGTGGTGGTCCCCACGCAGACCCAGAGCCGGGCCATGAGCGCAGCTCGGTGGGGGAAGTAGCGGGAACGCGGTTAGGGTAAAGGGTGGTCGCGGCTGAGGACAACTGAGTGGGAGGCGGCTCCAAGGAACTTCAGCAGGTCAAGAAAGAGACGGCTCCTCGCACCCCCGTGATGGGAAGGGAAGGAAGAGGAGGAAACTTTTGAGCCTCAACGGAGGCAGAGAACACAGCCCCATCAGCCTCTCCCCTTAACCGCTGCTCCAAACTGCCTTCCAAACAAGCAAGTCACGCGACCCGGCAGGTGGTGGGATCAGGTGACTATCGGCTCCACCCCTTCGTGCAGTTCCGAGCTGGGGCTTCCCTGGGTCCTAGCTGGGCGTGCCTTGGCTCCTGCCCTCACTGCGCGCTCCTCCTACACGCCTCAGCTTGTAGTGGAAAATCAGGTAGATCACTAGCAAATCTGGACGATAAAGCAGACAACGCCTAGAATTCACGTAGGCAGACTCAAGGGAAAATTAAAATCCCGACCTAATTCTTTGTGAATTCTGGCATTCTTAGAGGACGGCCCACCCCAGCTTAGGGCCCCACGAAGGGGGAGTGGGGGCGGGGGCTGTGTTTTGTTCCTCGCGTGTAGGAGGCGCGGAGAGTTGAGTTTCTGGGCCGCGACGCACGGCTTTGAAGGTCCCTCCCCCAACCCCCCCCGTGGTGGGGGCCGCAGGTGGGGCTTCGGCGACCGATCCCCTGGCTACCTCGCGCGGCCTCGCTGCTCGGTGCTCGCGATCCCCCCTGCCCTAGAAGGTTTCTCCCTCCATCCGGCTCTCCAGGCGCTCGGCAGCCTTGCCCGCTCCCGGAAGCCGCGGGTTCTGGTAACAAAGAGAGCCCTAGCGCCGCCGCCCCCGCCGCCGTCGCGGTCCGGAGCGTGGGGAGCCGAGGGCGCCGGCCGGGAGGGGACGTGAGCGAGCGAGCGAGCGAGCGCTGACGGTGCGCGGCCGGCCATGGGGCCGCGCTGGCGGTGACGGGCGCACGGACCGGTGGCGGCGGAGGCGGGGACAGGTGCAGGGCGCCTCGCCTCCCTCTTCTCGGGCTGCAGCCCTGGCGCAGGTGCTGCCGCCGCTGCTGCCGTCCCGTCCCCTCCAGGCTCTCCGTCCCTTCTTCCCCCCGGGCCCCACGCGCCCGAGTCCGACCGAGTCCCGCTCTCTGCTCGTTCCTCACCGGGGAATAAGCAGGACCTTCGCCGCCGCGTCCGCTTCGTGTCTGCGCGACACTGGAACTGGGGGAAACTTTGCAGGGAATTGTTCTGTTTTCCTCCTCCCAAGTTTCTGTTTTTTTAGGCGGCTTTTTTCTTAAAAGTTTATTTGACTAATCCCCTAGTTCCCTCTTACCTTCGGGATCATTTCCCGATACCTCCACCGTAGCTACTTTATAAAACAAAACGGAGCGGCGCGAGGACGAATGCTTTTGTTGCAAACCTAACTGCGTCTAGACCACAGTCAAGATGGATAAAAAGTCCTTTGAAACGGTGCTGGATGAAATCAGAAAGGTAAGAACGGTCTTTCTTGGTGACTTGAAGCAATGCATTGAATAGCCACGTTTTTCTGATTGATTGTCCTTTGAAGCAGTCGGGAAAAGGGTTGGATCCAGCTGGAGAGAGGATGCTCGGGTGCCAAGCATTGGTGGGACAGGAGTTCCAGGGTTTTTCTGATGTGTTTCAGTTCTTTAAAAAAAAAAAGTGTGTGTGTTCATATGTATACATTGCATCCATGTGGGTACGCAAGTATACATATATACATATGCACATGGACGTAGACTTGAATATATACACCCCTATATATGTTATTGCTATGTTCTGATTTTACGTCACCGGTCTCCCTCCCCCGCTCCGAGAACCATCCCATTTAACAAGTATCTCAAGAGCTTACAGACACCTAAAGTTTAATAGCACTTTTAAGTTTGAAAGGAAAGGAAGTGGAGTAGGAGTCCGACTTGTTTCCTTTCCAATGAGGCCCTCAAACTTTGGGGAGACAGTGTCTCCAAAACTAATAGTTGCCTAGTACCAGGGAGTTCTTAAATGTGATTATCTGACAATGTACGATGCCCAGAGTCCTCATGCAACGCAACTGTTTAATACCATTTATCGTCCAGGCAGATTAAGCCAAGTTTGCATATTAAACCAGAAAAAAAAAAAAGGAAACAAATTGTTTCTTGTTTTGGTGGGAAAAGTTAGTATCCTAGGTTAGCTTATTGGAACAATGCTTATTTCAGCAGTATGTTCACTTTTGCTTACTGAAACATTGGAATAATGATTATAAATTCCAGAAATTTACTTCATCTGGGACATTTTACCTGACAATTTGTCACAAACCAGAACCAAGATTTTTTTTTTACAGCAAAACATTAAAAGATGTAATTTTAGAACATAATACAGTAGTTCTTCCCTAGGAAAAAAAATAGATGAATTAATTGAAATTATTCCAATTTGTTACAAAAAGAACTCCTGATATTTTCCGTAGCTGGTGCAAGGTAAATTTGCTGAAATTGACTATTTAGAATGATGCCTAACTTTAGTTAGGGTTATCCCCATTTTACAGATGAGGAAACTAAGGTTTACAGAGTTCCAGTGACTTGCCTGGGGATCACCCGACTACTTAGTGCTAGAGGGAGAATTTGAACTCAGAGCTTCGGGACTCCAGAGGTCCAGCTATGCTCCAGCTAGCTGCCTCCTTAGAGTAGCTTATGAGACATTTGGACCTGAAAAATTTAAAGTGAATAAAGCTTAACTAGTAAGTTTGATTTTGGTTTTAAATTCCTTGACCACTATAAAGTGCTAACTTTATTGTGATCCTTTGATCTGTCTTCTGTTTTCGCATTCATCTCAAACGAATTTTTACTTAAAATATATTTCTTAGGCAAGTCTATCACACTAAAATTGCAGAATAGGAGATTATTTTACAAGATAAAATTTTTGTTTGAAACCAATTAAAATAAGTTTACAGTAAAAAGATTATTGACTTCAATTCCACCTAATGTGGAATCCAAGATAATTTTGATGTTGATTAGACCTAACGTTGCCTCTTTCTCAGTGTCCATGAAAAAAGAATTTGTAATTCAAATAAGTTGGCTAAGTAAATGCTTAGCTAGAACTCGCTGTCTTAAGAAGTTCTTTGAAAGTACTCCTTTATGAACAATTGATATGCTAATTACCAATTAGTTTTATTCATTGAAGCATGGATACTTGATGTTTGTTTGGACTACCTTGATGTATTGGAAAGTTCTAATTTTTTTCAAGAAAGAGTTGTATTTATTTTAAGTCTTCTATAATCAAAATATTTTTGGGTGCCTGAGGTTTTGGGGGATTAGAAAATATTAGTGGGTAGAGGGTCCCCCAAAGAGTTTAACCTGGCTGGAGAGGAGTGACTTTACACAAATGCATAGTTTAAGTAACACAAGAGTTTAAAATATGAGCAGGCATCTGGTAGGTAGATTTGATATCTTGAGACTAAGTAAGTGACTTGCCCATGATCACACAAGTCCTGTCTGTTTTTTCATCTGTAAAATAGGAATAATAACTTCACAAAAGAGATGTGAGCTCTTAGCAAATCCTAAAGCATTGTACACACTTGCTGTTTTACAAATAATTCATATATGTTAAGGTTTAATTCTTATCTATCCTTATTCTTTCTCCCCTCCTCATTGCTGAAGCTCCTAACTGTTGCTGAAGTAGGAGCTATGAGGAAAAATTTTGGGGTTTTTAGAGAGCATCTATGGGTTTTGAAAGTAGAAGTATTATTCAACAAATTCAGTGCAAGAAACACTTATTATTTACCTACTATCTTCAAGACCAGTGTAGGTTCTGAGACCTAAAAAAAATGATAGGCCCTGTCCTCAGGGTGCTTACTGTCTTACAGGGGATAGGACTTGTAGTAAAGGCAGTGAAAAATTGGCACTCTCAGCTTGAACCAGTCTGGCAAATGAAAGCAAGTAACAGGCTATCAGATAATCAAACTATATTCGTTTAGATTTTACATCTGATTTTTGCTAAGGATTTCAAGGGAATCTAAAGAAAATGGGATTTTTGTTTGGGATATTTGGTTTGAAAAGCACTTTGGAGGAATCAGATTGGAGGAATGAGGGATTTAAGTAATACGGAGGGATTTAGAAGTAGTGAGGAGTCGGAGGATCTACATTCAAATACCTTTTCTGAAGCTTACTGTTTGAACTTGGAGAAGCTGCTTTACCAACCTGGGGTTTAGTTTCCTTTCTAAATGAGGAGCTTGGGGTAAAATGGACTCTGGGTACCCTTCTAACTGCAGATTTGTAAATCTCTTAAGGCTCTGGGAACCTGGGGTAACAATAGAGGGTATATAGTCAGGGAGATGAAAAAAATTAAGACAAACTTTTCCATGTTTTTTGTTGCTAGGACCCAGAAGTCAGACTAGTGCTCAACTTCATCAACACCATCGTGACTTTCATAGACTTTAGTAAGGTAGCCTGACATTATTAAACAGTGAAACAAGTCTGGGATTTTGAGTTTGAATCCTGCTTCAAATACCTAGCCACAGTGAATATGGGCGCCTCACTTAAGCACACTTGAGCCTCAGTTTCTTCATCTGTAAAATAGGGATTGTAATACTTCATAAGATTGTTAGGATAAAAATGAGATAATGTATGTAAAATACTTTAAACCTTTAAAGAGTTTTCAAACCATTTAAAACCATGAATGTTGGTTGCTATTTTGATATAGCATTGGTATAGTGGGAAAATTCTGAGTTTCAAACAGATGTTTTACTTCAGGAACTTTAGGAACATTGGGAACAGTTAGAAACTTAGTATAAGAAGTAGATTTAAAGGAACTTTTGTGGTTTAGTCATTTTTCAATCATGTCCAACTCTTCATGACCCCATTTGGGGTTTTCTTGGCAAATGCACTAGAGTGGTTTGCCATTTTCTTCTCCAGCTCATTTTACAGATGAGGAAACTGAGGCAAACAGGGTTAAGTGACTTGTCCAGAGTCACACAGCTGGTAAGTATCTAAGGCCAGATTTGAACTCAGGAAGAGGAGCTTTCTGACTCTAGGCCCAGTGCTCCATTCACTGTACTATCTCTACACCCTATAGTGGAACTACACCAGGGGTGGGCAGCCTTTGGCATCGAGGTCACATGTGGCCCTCTAGGTCCTCAAGTGTGGCCCCTTGACTGAATCCAAACTTCACAGAAGAAATCCCCTAAATGAAAGGGTTTGTTCTGTAAAACTTGGACTCAGTTAAAAGGCCCTACCCAAGGATCTAGAAGGCCACAGGTTCCCCACCCCTGAACTACATAATTGCAAAATGATGTAGACTCCCCTTCTGTGGGCTGGGAAGGGGTAAAATCACATGGCCTTAGTGAAGCCCAGGACCTAGAGCATATACTAATTCCAAATGCCCCTTCCTTGTTAACTCACTATTGAGATGTTCCTGTATTTCTTTCTAGAATAGGTAAGTTAGTGATTATATATTATGTTTTCAGCTTCACCATGAAATTAAATAACTGAAAAGTATCTCTTTGGAAAAATCACTCGAGGAAGAAATGAGGATTCTTGGTCCCCAACACTGAATGTAAACCTTGTTCTGCTTTCCTCTCCAGCTTCGCTACCTTCAATTCTTCAGTGGGCAGTGTTGCTTTGGGGGACAGAGACACACAGATTAACCCACCTTAACTTTACTATATACTTTGTGTTTTATAGTTAAAATATTTTATCTTCCAAGTATATTAAGGAAATATGAACTTAAATGAAAATTCCTGTCTGTATAACTCTACCATTTACCAGTAGAGCATTAAATTTTTAGTTGTTTTCCCAATATAGGTTATTCTTCCCCCATACAAAATCTGAACATAATACTTAGAATGGATTTCCATTTAAATATGAGAAATTGGAAAAAAAAATAACTCTTGAAGGTATGGAATGGTGATAGCAGAAAGAAACTGGACTAGAAGTTTGTAGACGTGGATTCTAGTCTTGACTTGGACAGCAACTAAATATGTCACTTCACTATTCTGGTACTTTTCTTATCTTTAAAATGAAAGTTTAGGCAAAAATAGATTCTAAGATACCTAGGTTTTGATGGTAAGTTTTTTTGAGAAGTTTTAGGTCTTTTGGTGTCTGTCATCAGGACGTTATTCTATTGCATGTAAAGATGAGGACTTAGAGTGTATACTGCAGTTTCTTCTTTTGAAAAGTCAGCAGCAGAAAAGGCCTAAGCTGGTCAAACATCAGGAAATCTTATGTTAAGATCTTCACTTGGCAAATAATTAAGGACATTTCATAGTCAAAAGTAACTAGAATTTTAGAACTGGAAGGGACCTGAGTGTCTATTCTAAGTCCATCATTTTGCAGCTAAGGAAATTAAAGCATAGAGAAGGTAAGGGATTACACAGTTAATAACTGCTGGAGCTAGAACCCAGATAGATTTGTTTCTCTTCCCTCCAAGAGAAGGTAATAATACCAGTATCTCAAGTTCTGCCATACTTTGGTGTTAGTGTTCTGTTAACACATCCATCTCCAGTAATAACTCAGTGGATAACAGTTATTTTTGGCCTACGTATTGCTGTGGACTCTTCTGATATGACTCAGAACTATTTCACAACCTTCAAGAGGTGGGGTTGGGGGTCAGGGTCGGGGTGGGGGTAGGGGAGAAACTCTGAGATAACTTTAATGAAACTAATAAAAACTAAGTGAAACAAATCTTGCAGCTAGGTTCTAGCAGAATTATTGTGTTTCTACCTTTGTGTTGCCTTTTTCCTTTCTCATTGCCCTTCCCTCTACCCCCTCTCTTCTATGTCTATCTAAACCCTCCCCATCCTTCACTACTGTCTTCACCAGCCATGCCATCCTCTATAGATTTTGCTTTTTGAACTCCAGTAGTAGTTATTCTGTTTATTGAATGAAACCTGTATAGTCCTATGAAATTTTTTTTATCTTGAACTGTTTAAATCTTATGTTAACAAACATGTCTTAAGGAAGCTACTTGAAGATAATGATTTGGGCTATATTTCTTCATATTTCATAGGGAGGGCTAGTAAAACAGACATGACAGTAACTAAATATTTATGAAATTGAAATGAGCTGCTTTAGGAGGTATTGAGTTCCCTGTCCTTGTTGGAGTGGAGTCTGGCTGGCCGTTTGTTAGAAATGTTTGAAGGATTCCTGTTCAAGTACAGATTGGAACAGATGATCTGTCTGCCAGCTCTTGTAGACTAAAGGCATGAGAAGTAAAATAGCTATGAACTCTTGTTTTTGTGTCTAAAATGTTTAGGGAGCTAATCAGTTCCTTTTTTTGTATGTGACTCCCCAAAAGACATTGACACAAATTCTTGAAATTGAAAGGGATGCTGTCTTCCACACCTGTTTAATAAACTTAATTCAAAGATGATTAGAGAAGTGGGTTGAAGCTGACCAAGTAGTAGATTGGAGTGAATGCTTGAATGAGTGTGCAATGTAGAAAAATCCATGATGTTTTGAATGCTACTGTTGACTGACAGGATACTGAAGACAATGTTAAAGAACGCAGGAGAATAATCTTTTAATTAAATTATTCTTAGAACTACTCTAGTTCCCCACCCCTCCCCCCATTTTTTTTAATGCTTCCCTTATATGTGACCCATCTCTTTGCCCAAGTTAACACCTCCATTTATGTCCTTAATTCTGCCCCTTCTAGAGTTTCCATCTGTATTTATAGGAAACTTCTAATGGTGTAATTGTTTATAGTTAGAAATAAATATTTACTAATAGTATTTATGCTATTTCCTAAGGTAGGATAGACTGGTTTTCTAAAAGGTACAAAACACTTTTACAAACAAAACATTTTGACATTTTAGTGATTGTTAATTCAAAATTCATTTTACTATAACCATTTAAAACATGATTTCTGGTTTCCTAGGCTAGTCAGTAGAAGCCTTCCCCTACCCTTTTAAAGTGGGAATTTGCATTCCAAGTTTCCAACAAATGTTAACCGGAGGCTATTTGTGTTCAAATTCTTAGAATATGCATAAACTCAGATTGTTCTGTTTTGATTTGTAAAGGTCATATGATCAGAATTTAAGAGAGAAACGTCTGTTGATGAAAGTTTTGAAACTTTAACCAGGGATCCTGGGTTCTAATGGGCCATCACTGGCAAGCCTAGGGAATAAGTATAGAAATATAGGGAAGGGGCTTTTGTGATGGAATAAGAAGTGGGTAGAAATTTCAGCAAGGTGATTTCAGCTAGATATAATTATGTGTTTCCTGTCACAGCTATCAAAAAATAAAAAGAACTGCTGCAGGAGGTGGTGGGTTCTGTGCCACTAAAGGTTTTCAGACTGAGGCTAGTTGAACCACACCTGTCATGGTGGTTGTAAGTGGAGGATTCCTGTGCACGTGTAAGTCAGGCTGCCAACTGGTGCAGTACATAGGACACTGGAACTGATATCAGGAAAATTTGAGCACAAATCTTTCTTGCTGTGATACTCACTGGTTGTGTGACCCTGGCAAGTAATTTCATAACTCTTTTTGCCTCAGTTTCCTCGATTGTAAAATGGGAATAACATCAGCACTTACTTTACAGGGTCATTGTGAAGATTAAATGAGATAATATTTGTGAAGTATTTTGCAAACTTTAGAAGCACGATATAAATACTAGTTGTTATTATTATTATTGTTATTATTATATGACCTACTAACTCTAGAGTTTGTATTCTGCTGTTCGGTGATACCACGGAGTACTTGATGATATTTTACAGGACAGTTTTCGTGGATGCTTATTATTGTTTGTGCTGTTTACATATTTAACAGAACTTTGTGTGTATGTGTGTTTTTTTTTTAAGGCTGTTTTGACAGAATACAAACTAAAAGCAATTGAATATGTGCATGGATACTTCTCTAGTGAACAGGTACTGTTCAGTTTTTTTGTTTGTTTTTTAGCATTGAAACTGTTTTCATGACAATATTATCATGTAAAAGATCTTTATACCTCAGATTATTTGAGCCCCTGGTTCATTTACTGCTGTGTTTATTCAAGACCTTTAAAATTCTTTCCATCTTTTTTGGGAGGTGCCATAATAGAAGCAGCATAATTTCTGGTATTGAAACTGACTTCTAGAATAGACACAATAAGAGAGATGACTTCCATCAATTCCCAGACTTAATCTAATATTTTTAAGCCTAGTAACATAATTTAATCACAGTTATCAGGTTTATTACTTGAGGGAGCTGCACAGGTGGCAGAAATTATCTGGAAGTAGTTAGGGGTTATCTTGGTCAATTGGAAAGTATTTGTTAGAGTAATCACGCCTAGGCCACTAATAGAAATACAAATCTGAAATAGCCTCTGATTTGCTTAGCAAAGGAACATCTCTGGAAAGCAGTAGAGAAGTATAGATTGAGTTAAGAAAAAGTATTCCAGGAAGTAGCAAATGTTAGAACTTAACTTGTTTATCTAGCATTTCTCAAGAATTTTTAATATTTTCTGCTCCTTACCTTTGAACTTTAAACCTATGAGAACTTCAGTTTAGGGATTTTTTTTTTTTTTTATTGGCAGGGATGTGTGGGAAGTTAGAGGAAAAGAATTGATTTCAACTTCAAGATTTATTCTCTTTAGTAATTCTGGGGCAAACTTAGATCGGTAATTCTACAATTTCATAGCCAAACCTTACTGCTTTAGTAGGTTGTCCAGTTTCTTCTTAGCAGAAAGTCTTTTACAAATTTCTTTCTTTTCCAATCAAACTTTATCTTTTAAAGCCTTTCAGAAAAGCTTTCTACTTTTTATAGATGTAGAATTTTTAAAAGTTCTCGGTTTTTCCCTGTAGATGTATTCTGCTTAGCTGTCATCAAAGACAGTTGAATATTATCTGACTTTTTTCAAAGTGTGCTAACACTAGCTGAGTAGTTTACAAGATAGAAGATTTTTTTTAAGATGCTAGGTTATATAGTGTTCTGATTAGTCAGGTTGCAGATGACTGCTTTTACTGTACTGACAATGTGACCTTTTTAAAAGGTGTAGGTATGCATTCTTACCATCCAAGTACCTAGAAGAATGCATATTTATGATCTCATTTATAAAGTGCCTTCTTCCAAGGAGCAAAAAATGCTTCACTAATTTGATTTGTTCAAGGTCTTTCCCCAAGTGGCTGATAAGAGTAGGATAGTAGTGTACAAGAAAATGAGATGCAGAGAAACCAGATTGTGTTGTAAAGTCATACAAATAGTTGTCAAATTAAGATTAGGGTCCAGATTTTTGAATGTTTCAGCATTATTCCAGTTGAACTAGTTATCAAGTACTAGTAGGCTAAAGAGAGGTAAAAGGGGAAGGGGAGTCTGGATCAGGTAATGTGATGATCGAAGGGAAGGGAACAAGCATTTACTCAACACCTATTGTGCAAGGCACTGTACCAAGTGCTTTACAGATGTCATCGTACAACCCTGGGAGATAGGTGCTATTATTATCCTTTTCTTACAGTTGAAGAAACTAAGGCAGATAACTTGCCCAGGGTCACATAGACTAGTGAGTGTCTGAGGCTGTATTTGACCTCAGGGTTTCCTGACTCCAGGTCTGGCTCTGGCACTCTATCTCCCCTGTACTACCTAGCACCACCTCAGTGACAGTGATGAGATTGCACTGGTCTCTATTGATTTAAATTTATTTAAACTATCCTGATTTGATGATGAATCCATTTTCAACATTGATATCACAAAGACCTTTTTCCCCTCTTCCTCCTCCAAGTGGTATAATCCCACCCTGCCCCCCCCCAAAATAATCTGTGGTGCTTTTCTTCCCCCTTTTTTTGTTTTTGAGAAATAACCTGTTGCTTGTGTTTTTTGGGAAGTAGACCTTAGTATAATGCCATACAATCTATTTCATTAGTTCAAATTGTGACCCTTGAACCATTCCATTGATTCCAAAGTGTTTTTTGTTCCAAAGTCCCTTTTCTTTAGTTTTTGACTAAAACTTTTTTTAACCAGTATTTAATGTTTATATGCAGTTTTCCCATTCAATCATTATCAACTAAAATGTCTTCTCATTCATATGATTACTATTGCATCTCAATAATAAACAACTGTTTTTCTTTTGGAATTAGGAACTTTCTGATATATCCTGTACTTTTTTTATACATTAATTGAACTCGGGAACCTTGACCATGATTCTAGTCTGACTCTGGGGCAAACAGTAGAAATGGTGTAGAAAGAGTCATAAAACTCACACAGAAAATAATTTCAAAGATAGTTGAGTTTGCTTTAGACCCATATGAGTAAAATTATCCTTTTTTTCAGGTAGTTGAATTACTGAGGTACTTTTCTTGGGCTGAACCCCAGTTGAAGGCAGTGAAAGCATTACAACATGTAAGTGTGAACTTTGCCCCCTTTTCTTTTCTTAGAATATATGACTCAAATTTCTTCTTTGTTATACTATCTTGTCCAGTTATTCCATTGATTTTTTCATTCCAGTCAGTTTGAAAACTTGTGTATCAGGCAAGATAACTTTAAATTTGATTCCCATTTTGAAAAAGCTGGTGATTATTCAGAACGATACAGATTATACACACACATGGGTTATATAAACCATATATAAACTACATGAAGTCTTGGAATCCTATCACTAGACTTGAAAAGGATGTTAACGGCCATCTGGTCCAGTACCCTCAGTGTGTAGAGGAGGAAACTGAAGCTCCAAAAAGTGTAGTCAATTCCCTGAGACTTCATAGCTAACAGTGGCACAGCCTGTACTTAAATTGTGCCTTCTGACTTCAAGTCCAACATTGCCTTCTGTCATGTCACACTTAAGAGTAGGAAAGGAACCTGACCATTGTATTTTTAGCTGCCTGTGGGAGACAGTATTGACACTATACTGATTTGAATTCTGGTTCACAGCCTACAGTCTAGGGTTGACAGATTTCTAGCAAGGAGTAGAGCACTCCTAACAGACTAAGCAGAGTGTGTGACAAGTGTGTTGTTAATTTAATCAAAAGAGCTGTAAACTGAAAAGGACAAGGGCATGAGAAGAATGCCTATATGTGCCCCCATTGATGGATACTAGAGAGAAGAAGACAAAGAAGTGAAAAAAGTAGCAATTAAAACACCCAGAAGTGCTCAGAAGAAAAACCAATCCAAACAAAGAGCCAGTGGTAAAACCTGCACAGTCCAAGATTAAACAAGAGGACAGCTAGTGCCAGGGGACACATTTTGGTGGCATGAGGCCCATGACTGGACTGTGGCTGTAGATGGGCGTACCTCATAAAAAGAAATGGGAAGGGTAAAAGGAACTGGTAGGTGGAGTAGAATGGTATAGTAATAAGGGATATTCATGTGAGAATTCAAAAATAAGGGGGAGAGAGATAACTGATGGAAAGTATTAGGGTGCAGATCAGAGCAAAGAGATATCAAAATGATGTGGTCACTGGAGTGTACTACAGACCAAGGCAGGTCACGAAACCACTTGGACAGAAGGAGAATAGATGAGGAGTTTAGGAATTGGATCACAAGCCTGGCCCTGAGGCATCATATAGTAGTTCTAGACATCTTCTAGAATTCCTCATGAAAAGCACAACATCTCGTAACTTCTTGATTTACCTTAGGGATAATTTCATGCTTCAAAACGTTATAGAACCAACAAGGGGAAATTCTGTTCTGGACCTTACTTACTGGTGCAGAAATGATGGAAATTCCATCTACAGTTTATGATATCAAAAGGTTCTGAGAGGGGCAGCTGGGTGGTGAAGTGAATGAAACACTGGTCCTGGACTCGGAAAGACCTGAGTTCAAATCCAGCCTCAGACACATAACACTGACTAGCTGTGTGACCCTGGGCAAGTCACTTAACCCCAGTTGCCTCACCAAAAAAAAAAAAAAAAAGGTTCTGAGGAAAGAGGTGGCATCCTTTTGCATTAAAGTGTATCAGGGCTATACAAAATGTATAAGGAGAGACTGAAGATGCTCAAAGATGTTCTGAATATGAAGACCCAAAGGACAATTCCAATAAGAATAAAAATTGGATTTCTCTTAAGAGACCTATGTGGATAACACAGTGAAGTTACCAACCAACTTATATGTTTAAAAGAAATATGTAGAAGATGGAAGGAAGGCCAAGTAAAAAATAAATATAAGGGCATGGTGTGGTCCTATAAAAAGAGTCGGGAATGCTCTGTCTCCAAATGAGCTAAGACTGGCAAGGGAAACTAAAAACAGCATACAGGTGTGTGGGTGTTATTGGTAGTGCAGGGAGGATCCAAGAAGGAATAGGACTTTTGCTTGGAGTGGGTGGGATGATGATAAATAATAACAGAGAAATGGAAGAGCTGCCCAATTCTTATTTTGTTTACGTTTTCTCTGCAGAGGGGAATGTCTTTTACAATGGAAATTAGAGAACAAAAGTGGCTGTCAGTTGATGCCTGAGATAAGTAAGGAGATAGTAAAAGCACACTTTGCTGCCTTTGATGAATATAAGTCATTTGACCCAGGTGAACTATGTGTTTAGATCCTGAAAGAACTGGCAGAAGTATCAATGATATTTGAAAGATCATAGAAAATGGAGAGGTGCCACAAGACTGGTGAATCCCAGGTTAAGAACTCTTGCTCTAAAGAAGTCTTTTGCAGAGTGACTCAAATGACTTTCTGTAGGGCTCTTTCTTGGGGTTTTCCCCTATCATTAAATAATCATGGGGTGGGCCTATGGAGATACTCAATTCTTAAACTTATATTTATTGATGTATATAATATAATGTTACATAAGATAATGTTATGTATTAATTATAGTAGCACATAATTATAATAATATATTTAAAGTTGATAACCTCCAGTGGTTCTTGATTTCTTTCTTTCTTTCTTTCTTTTTTTTGGCAAGGCAATTGGGGTTAAGTTACCTGCCCAGAGTTATACAGCTAGTAACTTATGCATCTGAGGCTGGATTTGAACTCAGGTTTTCCTGACTCCAGGGGTAGTACTTTATCCATAGCACCACCTGGCTGCCCACCCCCCCCTTTCTTTGTGTATATAGAACCATGTTTTCAGAGCTCCAAGAAATCTTAGGGAGTTATTGAAATCATTTTCACTTGACAGATTAAAAAGCTGAATGTGAGAGAATAGATAGCTTTCCTAGATAATACAATTTATTGATTACAAAGCTCACATACTAAAACAGGAAACAATCTACTCTCTTCGCCCTTTCATCCCCCTCCTCATCTTATGTATAGAAACCAGAGTCCCTTAGTAGTAAAAGGACTCGCCTATTCTCATACGACTAGTGGGTTAAACTGACACTGGAAACTCAGGTGTCCTGACCCCTTAATACAATGACTTTGTTTTTAACCCTGAGTGAAATGTAGGTAAGTTTGTAAGTTAAAATGAAGACTGGGAACCAGCAGTCGAGCTGGTACTGGAGTCTTGCAGGTAATTTTCGTGTCTGTATTAATCTGATTTAGCGCTTCAGCCTCTGACGTAAAAGACTTGCATCTGTAGATTTTTTTAAACCTTTATTTTGACTTTCTGGTGTTACATTAACATTCCCGACCAAGTTTTGGTTGTTTGATTTTTACAGTAATGGCATTTTGATTAAGTTGATATTGCCTTTAACCATAACAAAAGTAACCACATGGGATGGTAAGGGGGCATCACAGGATCAAAGAGCTAGGCATGGAAAGAAGTTTAGAAGTTGTCTGGTCCAACTCCTTATTTTACAGTTGAGGAAACTGAAACATTCAGAGGCAGATGTGACTTGCCCAGGGTCACAGTTAGTACCTGTGCCACTCTGAAGGGACCAGAGGCAGGGAAATAAATGTCATGATTTGTCTGTTACCTGTTTTCTTATTTCTATTACTAGAAAATGGTGGCTGTCCCTGCAGTGAAAGTGGTCAACATCCTCAACTGCTTCACCTTCAGCAAAGATAAGCTGGTTGCTCTTGAACTGTTGGCTTCGTGAGTAATTCTTTGTGTCTTTTTTTGTTTCAGATGAAAAGATTTCAATAGCCTATTAAGGAAGTTAGTAAATGTTTCTTTTAATATTCATGAATTTTAAAGAGTACTAAATGATGTTTGGTAAGAAAGAATTATGATTTTATTTTATTTACTTCTAGGACAAGCCAGTGTACTTATTATAGAGAGCCCTTTGCATGTTAAATCCCCAAGTTGAGACCACAAAGCTGGATTTTGAAATTGGCATTGTTCCTGTCTACATTTTTATCAGTCTTTCCTTTTGAATTCTTATTCCTGCATGCTACTACTACCCAGAATACTGTGCTAAAAGAATATGACTGCTTTATTCTATTACGTATTGAGTTCATAGGATAATAGATAAAGAGTTTGTCATCTGATTCAACCCCCTCATTTTAGAGAAGAGGAAACTGAAGACCAGAAAAGTTAAGTGATTTGCTCAAAGTCACTCAGTTGGTACAGTGCAGAGCCAAGATTCCAGCTTTGGTCACCTGACCCCCAACATCACTTTGTCTGGACTGTTTCATTTTACCATCTTAAAGATAACGCAAAACTTAATTTTTTGGACTTGTGATTTCTTTAAGGTCCTAGACACTTGCTGATTTTAGGTCTGCCCCTTCACTGAGAAAATAATAAAGAACTTTAAGAGTTCTTTTAAGCTGAGATGTAGGAAAAGCATTTTGTAAACCATGGAGTGCCATAGAAGAGATAGGAATTGATAGAAATGCAGTAAAAATAAAATTTTATTGTTATCTTTTGTTTTTACATTGCCTAAATTTCCCCCTGTACCCTTCTCCCTTCTCTTATCCAAAAAACCATCTCAAATAAAAAAAAAATTTAAAAGAAGGGAAAAAAAATCAGTAAAACTAAGCAATACGTTAAAAAAAAAAACTTGACAATATATGAAGTGTTCACATCTGTGTACCCCCCCATCTCTGCAAAAGAGTGGAGAGTACTTACTCTATCTTTTTCATTCAGTTGATTACATCTATGCAAACCTACATCTTGTAGTCATCATAAAATAAAGCTTTTTAAGTTGGATTGTTTGCTCTCTCTTTCTTTCTCTCTCTCTCTCTCTAACACACACACACACACACACACACACACTCTCCATCATATTTCTCCTCAATGGCATATAAAAAAGAGTTTTACCTCTCTGAAGTAAGATTGTTAATTCCCATAGTATGGTATATTTAGAGCTACAAATAACATAAATGAATTAATTTTATTTTCTTGGTAGGAACATTATTGATGCACAAAACTATCGCCTTATTGAAGATCTTTTTAGGATCAACATGTCTGAAAAGAAGCGGTGTAGGAGAATTCTTGAGCAGGTAATTTTGTAGAGGATTTTATTTAAACAAGTGCATATCTTTTTGGATTTAATATAGAGTTCTGAGAAGCAATATAATAGAGTTCTAGAATTTCAGGCCTAAAAGGCATCTGAGAAATCATGTAGTCTCCCAGTCCCCTGATCTTTCAGGTGACGACTGAGGCTTACAAAGAAGGAACCTCCCCAATGTTACAATGCTGTCACTTTGTCATTTCTTAGTGATTATGAGAAAAACAATTTAATAATCAAATAAGTAGATGTTTCTACGGTGGAATTCTAAATGTCATCATGCAGCTTATCTTTGATGCTCTCTTCTCTTAATTATGAGACATCAGTGTCTCATCTCCTTCCATTCTTTTAGGAACTTGGACTGTTATACCATTTATTAATGAGTTTATTTAAATGTTGGTGTATCACATATTCAGGTACTAATTGTTTCATAAGAAGGTGGGAGTTTCCAGAGTCTCATTTTTATTTTCCTTTTGATTTTATTGCAGGCTTTAAAGGGAGGTTGTAAAGCTCCTCATGCCATGATATCTTCTTGTGGAATGATTCCTGGCAACCCATATCCTAAAGGGAAACCCAGTCAGATAAATGGAACTTTTCCAGTAAGCAAACTGTGATTTATATAATGCTGTTATGGATAAAGAACAAGTTTAAAATAATTATAATTTGTAAAGAAAATATATGGTGGAAAAATGTGTACATGAAGGAGATTCTATTGTCATCAGAATTGCAAGTTCATTATTAATGTGCATCCTAGTAGTTCAGAATTTGTGGTAATTCAGACCTGGAATTAACTGGTTTCCCTTTGCTTACCTACCACTGTCTTCTCTCAATCCCCTGTTTTTATAGATCTTAGAAACTAATTGTTGTTGTTCAGTCATTTCAGTCATGTCCAACTTTTTATGACTCCATTTTTTCTTGACAAGAGATACCAGAGTGGTTTGCCAATTCCTTCTCTAGCTCATTTTACACATGAGGAAACTGAGGCAAGCAGTTAAATGACTTGTCCAGACTCACACAGCTAGTAAGAGTCTGAGGACAGATGACTAATAGTATTTTTAAGAAATATGTTTGAGGGGCCATTTTCTGATACATAAAGTAATTTTAAGTTGTAGAGAGCCCTGATAATGAGGGTAATTAGGGAAAGCTTCTTGAAGGAGGTAAGATATGAGCAGAGCCATGAAGGACTGGCTCCAATTCCGAATAGTGTTGATAACTCGTATTGGCTCCAGGGCATGAATTTTTCTGCTGCAATAGCTGTTGAAAACCCTTTCCTAGAGGAGTTGTATATAGTCTGTTGGTTGAAAGAAGACCTACAACTAAATAAGAAATCCTGAAGTATTTCAGAAAAAAGAATGTTCCTTTTTCTTGAATGAAGCTATATTCAGAAACCATAGTGTCTTAGAGTTGATAAAATGGATGTGACCCTCACTTTATAGAAAAAAGTGAGCTTCCAAGAGCTTAAAGGTGATTTGCTGATGATCACATAGTTAGTGTTAGTGCTAAGACTCAGATCCAGCTCCTTGACTCTAAATCTAATAATCTTTTGTAAGACAGACAAAAAAAAGTTCTTTGTATGTAATGACTAAGAGAAAATTTTGGGCTTTGTCATCAGGCTTATGATTTCTAGGTCAGGGTCAGATAGAAGACTTGAACTCAGATCTTCTGACTCCCAGCCCAATATTGTTTTTCTTTTACTATACTACTATTACCTTATACTATCCTACTTTCATTGTACTACTTTACGACATTCTATGTGCAGAATGTTATTATCTGGAATAACTAATTTTCTTTTTTATAGGGATTCCCTATCAAAAAGGATGGTGAAGATTGTACAAATGAAGGCAAAGGAATAGCTGCACGGATACTTGGCCCATGTAAACCAGTATGTGTGGAATAGAAAATATAATTATATTCTTAGGGATCTTGAGATACAAGAACACTATTGTCAAATAATCATTAGTTAGCTGTGAAAAATCTGTCATTAGTGCTGGATATTTCATTTTTTGCATCTGGTTATTAGATTGTTATTGTTTATTATTTCTTTTATTTTTTTAAAAAGAATTGATAGAATTTGTTTTTTGTCATCTTCTTTTCCAAATATGTCCATCCTCTTCCCGTCCCCAGGAAGTGTTCCTTTCTAGCAATTAATGCAGAGGGGGACGGAAACAGGCCATTCTATTTATCAACACTAACCAACACCTAACTGAGTCAAACATTGTGTGCTAAGTTCCATACCAAAAGCTTCTTCTGCAGAGAAAAGAGGAAAATGCATCTTCTCTTTTTTGGGGGGGGGGGCAGGGAGAGGAAATAAGTTTTGAACAGTATAATTACACTTTTTTTTCTTTTTCTTCCTATTTACATTGTTGTAATCATCATATATATTGCCTTCCTGGTTCTGTTACAGGACTTTTTCAAAGAGCTATAAAAAGCATTATGGAGCTACCACATCTTCAATGACTTAATGGTTAGGAGGTTGACACATGGTATTTCACATTTTAAGAATCACTAAGTTAAGTGACTTGTTTGAGGATATGTGAATTAAGTGACTGAAATTTAGGATTAAAACTTGAAATCTACACCATTGGTACTGAATAGGCATCACTACCACTGGGTAGATGGATAGGGAAAAGTGCCATATGGGATCTGGTATGTGTGCTGGGAGACTTTCCAGTTTATTTGAACAAATTTTTTGCTGTAGTGCATATTTTATTTTCTGTTACTATTGTTGCTGAAATTATTTTATTCTTATCCAGGCTCCTGCAACATACAATCCGCATAAACCTGTTCCATATCCTATACCCCCCTGCCGACCTCATGCAACTATTGCACCAAGTAAGATATTTGATTCTAATTTGATTTGTGTGCATACACTATTTCATTTGTTAAATGTTTAATTTATTGAGTTTACTGGAAGTATGTACTCTTGAAGATTAGGAAAAATTGAAAATCTGGTATGTACTCTTGAAAATTACCAAAAGTGTCTTAATGAGTTTTTTCCTCACATCAGCTACTGTATTTTACCATACCAACTGGAAGCAGTTGTTGTTTATTTTAGAGTGTTCATATTTTTTCTGTTATATAAAATAAGTCCTATCAGCTCTGACTGTAACACTATTGGAAGCAAGTCAGGTAATATTGTGAGTGAAATTAAATAACACCAAATTATGTTCTTTGAAACAAAATCTATTTCCTCATGTATTTATGTTTTAGGTGCTTACAACAATGCAGGTTTGGTACCATTGGCTAATGTCATAGCTCCAGGAGTCCCACCTCCACTTCCATATACTCCTAATCCAGTGGCAACAGGTAAAGAAGTCTTATTATAGAGATCTTAACCTTAGATCATTTATTTTATCCATAAAATTATTTTTGATAATGCACAGTTGCCTATTGTAGCCTTATGATTTGAAGTGCTTTAAAACAGGTTACCAGAAATTTCACTTTAACTTATGTTGTTCAACATTTCCCCATGACATTTAAAGTTTTGCTGGCCAGGTGCCAGGCAATGAGTGTAACACCTCTGCTCTATCCTCTGTCACTGCACCTTATCCACAAGGGCAGCATTAGAAGCATCAGATGCTCTAAAGAAATCTTTAGCACACACTCTCTCTCCAACATGCCTGATCCACTGGATTGATAACTCTGCCCAATTTGGAAATGGGATTAGTCTGGTATCTTCTGTTCTTGATAAAGCCATGCTGAAACTTAATGACTACCTTTCTGTGTCACTTTTTTATTCTTCACATTATCTTCTGGCCTTTTATGTTTCCATCTTAACACTGTTATATTGTCACCCATCTCCTGATTTCCCAAAAGAATTACTGTGGGGGAATAAACTTTAAATGTCATGGGGAAATGTTGAACAACATAAGTTAAAGTACGGTACAGCATGGATAAGGTGAAGTGGTGGCATATTGACATATAAAACCACAGTTTTCCATAATGCCAGAGTAAGGGGACTGTTGGAGCAGTCACTGGAAAGATTCATGTGGTAGGCAGCCAGGCTGCAGATGGATGAATGCTGAGAAATGCTCAGGTATGAGACTGTGCAGAGTCACAGGAACCAGAGCAGAGGGGCCCTTCCCTCAGTGGTTGATTATCTAAATCAAACTGATCTCACCAAGAAAGCTTGAACCTGCATTGCCATCTGCTGGGCATGGGTGAGATCCGAAAAGGCCCCAGAGACCATCAGTCCAACCCTGTTATTTTATCGATAAGGACGCTAAGGCACTGGAGAGTTCAGTTGCTTACCCAGGGTAGCACAGCTATTAAGTGTCTGAAGTAAATGTGAATCAGTGTATGAATGGAAAAAGCATGTATTCATTAAATGCTTATCATATGTAAAGCAGTGTGTGAAGTGCCAGGGATACACATTCCTGCTGTCAAGGAGCTCACATTCTTATGGGGAGACAACGCGTACAGAAGGTGTCAGCTGCAAATCAGATGGAAAGGTCCCGGGATCCTTGGGGTGCAGCAGCAAGCAAATGGGAATGCCTCTTCTTTTAATGTCATTTCCATCATAAAACTCTGTCCGTTTCTAATGCTGAACAGTTGGACAGTGCTGAGGACTCTGATGGCAAGAACTCTTTTGTGGGTCTTCAATTTGAACCCAGTTCTTCCTGACTCCTCCACACAAAGCTGCCTTCAGAGTTACTTTTCCCATGTTTTTGTTTTGTTTTATTTTGTTTTAACAGTTGTGGATAATTTGGACACATGTACATTGATGGTACTTGTGAGAGGAATCTTGGGTTTTCATAAGTTAACTGGCTCAGCATCAAGAAAAGGAAATGGTCAAGGGAAAGGGAGCCTCCCTAAGCTCCCAAGAAATTAGGATCACAGATTTAGAGCTGCAGCAGAAATTAGCCTGTCCCAGCAAACTTTCTTAAGTCCTTTCCATCTGGATTTTTAGGGCCCTGTACAATTTTGGCAGTGAAGAATAAAGATGTGGTGTTGAACAGTGGATCCCAAATGATAATTCTGTTTCAACCATTTTATTATTAATACCTGAAGCATATCCTTCTGTGGACTAAGAAGGGGCCTGGTCCTTTGTGGATTGAGAAGAACTCTGGATATATTATAGTGAGTTTAACAGCAGTGTGAACACTGCAGACTAGATGACCCTTGTCCTCACTTCTTACTCTGAGAATCTGAAGTTCCCTTACTATGAGATAGCGGAATGACTTCCCTAAGGAACAATCCATAGACCTTATTATACACTCATGTGACTCTCATCTCTAATCAATTGGGAAAAGCAATTCTGTGGGACGTTAAAATCATTTTATATTTTTTTTTCTCTGCAGAAAATGAAGAACTTTCTAATCCATCAAAACCCCAAAATCCAAGTAAGTGTCAGATTTACTGGGAGGATAACAACTATGTTTCTTCCTGTTGTATCCTGCTAATTTTTATATCACTGACTCTAAAGAGAAGTAGTATGATATAGTGGCTAGAGCCCTGGCCTTGAAACAGAAAGACCTGAGTTCAAGGCCTATCTGTGTGACTGTGAACAAGTGACTTAATCTCTTAGTGCCCCCAAGCAATTCTAAAACAGATGAATTATTGGTCTTATTAGTGGAGATAGTTGCTTACTTGAATGGAATCACAGCTCCAGCACCCACTCGTCAAGGATGCCTCACCCCACCCACCCAAAAAAATTTAATAAACTTGCAAAGTATTTTTCTCACAAGAACTCTGAAATAAGTAGTGCAGGAATCATCTGTATTTTTTTTTTTTTACTTTCATTGATCTGAAGTGCTCAGGGAGATGAAGTGATTTGAGCAGGGTCCCATGCCTAGCAGATGTCAGAGCTCTGACTTGAGCCCAAGGGTTCCTACCCCAGGACTTCAGTGTATTTCCAGCTGTATTTTGCTGCCTCTCTGTGATCATAGTATATTAAAGACTGTGTGTATGTGGGAGTGTGTGTGTGAGAGAGAAAGATTTTTGTGTTCATGTGCAAAAAAAAAACCTCACCAGTTCTAGATTTTAAGTTGTCATTTATGTCTTTAAAAAAAATGCATCTTAAATTTCACTATGATGCTGATGCTCATCCTTTATTTCTTTGCAGCATTTTCTTCCCACTCAAGTCAGCTCTTTTCTCCTCATTGTTCTAATCCTTCGACACCTGTTGCTACTCCAGTCCCTACCCCATCTCCAGTGAAGGCAGTAAATCACCCATCTGCACCAGCAACTCCAGTCATCGCTGGAATGAACTCGTCCACTCCTGTCCTTCCTGGGCCCCCAGGGCAAGCCTCTTCATCGAACCATACACCTCAGTCGTCAATCCCAGCATCAACCGTCATCAAAACCCTTTCCCTGCCAACAGTTCCTGTTCCACCTGGACATAATACAACTCCGGCTCCTATCCCCGCAGTTTTTTCTGGCCTGACTCCTATGTCAGGCCTTACAGCTGCTCCTCCTCCCGCCCCACAGGGTGCTGCTACACCCTGCCCTCCTCCTGTTCCCAGTGAATCATTTGCTCCTGCTCCTGCTCCTTTTAACAGCCTCCCTTTTCCTGCTACTTCTACAGCTGTTTCTACTAATAACCTTAATCCCGCTCCATTATCATCCATTTTTGCAGGGCTTCCTTTGTCCTTAACACCTACTCCCCAAGTGGTATCTAGCCCAGCTCCCTCTGTAATTGCTGGTGGGCCTGCTACCAGTCTTCCTGGGCTGAATAATCCTATTCTATCTGTCTTGAAAGGATTTCTGACATCAAATGATACAACTTCAATCAACTCTTCTGCTTTGGCTTCATTATCTTCTCTCACTAATCAGAACTCTGATTGTCCTGCTTCCTCCATTAACAAGTGCTATACGCCGTCAGCTCCACCTACACCCCAAAGGTCTGCCACTCCAGGCATGGCCATGTTCCCGGGTCTTTCGCCACCTTCCGTGGCCAATCCAGCTTCCACTCCCCCTTCCTTACCAGCCCAATCTCCTTTAGCCACACCTGCATCAGCAGCAGCAGCACTACCAGTTAGCTGTGCTTCCTCAGCCTCTATTTTGCATGGCCCCCGCCCAGGTGACCCATCACTGCAGATTCCAGCCAGCCCTGTTGTTCCAGGCATCCCCGTCTTGGTAAAAACGGAGCCCGCAAGCCCCCCGCCTTCAGCTTTCAAAGGCCCACCCCGTGCTGCTGCTCCGCCTCTTAGCACTTCAGGCCTGTCGGCAGCATTAGGCCGTGTGCTTACTTCAGCAGCAGCGTCAGTGCCGGTCACTTTACCCACTGGCCTTAATCCAGCATCGGCAGGCCTCTCCTCCTTGAGTGCCCCGCCGAATGCTTCCGCGCCCCTCTCCTTGACCCCTCACGGCCCCTCCGCACCCATTGCTCCTGTGTTTACTGCTCTTCCACCTTTCACTTCGCTGACCGGTAACTTTCCTCTAGCTGGTAACCCAGCGCTGAACCCCTCTGCGTCTGTTCCGGGGGCATTAATAGCCACTCCTCCTACTCCTGCTTCCTCCACATCAGTCCCTCGTCCCAGCTCTACTGCGGCTGTGATCTCGGCGCTCACGGCCTCAGCCCCTGTCTCAGCAGCACCATTTCCCCTCAACTTGTCTACTGCTGTCCCGTCCCTTTTCTCTGTTCCTCAAGGACCTCTGCCATCTTCAAACCCATCCTACCACGGCTTCCCTGTCTCCAACACTCCGACAGTTACTCCTGCACTCCCTTCTTTCCCGGGGTTCCAGGCATCATCTACAGTAGCAGCGGTTGCACCATTGCCAGCCACTGCTGCGGCTCCATCACCAGCTCCAGTCTTGCCAGGATTTGCATCTGCATTTAGTTCCAATTTCAACTCTGCACTTGTTGCACAAGCTGGGTGTGTTTTATTTCTGAAATGGCATAAAAGTCTTCATTTTTAACCTTGCGTACCTTTAAAAAAAGTAATTTTCAATAACCTACGTTGGGTGGAAGTCAAAGTCAGATACCCAGTGGTATTCATTTTTGTACCATATATAATCAGAAATGGTTTCTGAGCAGCCTTTTTGAAGCAGACTTGGCATGCTAAACATAGGGGAAAATAGGTGCATGTATAATTTCACATTTGTAAACTTGGTCATTAGATCTCAGTGTTTTGGTTTGTTGAATTCAGGAGAATCAGAAAGTATGATAAGGTTTAATATTTATGTGAAATACATTTGACAAATGTAGGAAGTTTAGCTTGTAGACATTGACTCTTGTGCATGAACTTTTCCTAACTGACTTGTTACAGATTGTCGTCTGGACTTCAAGCAGCTGGAAATTCTGTTTTTCCTGGACTTTTGTCACTCCCAGGAATACCTGGGTTTTCCCAGAACCCCTCACAGTCTTCCTTGCAGGAACTGCAGCACAGTGCAGCTGCACAGTCGGCCCTCTTACAGCAGGTAAACCAGTCGTAGCTGTGAATACTGCCGAATGGTGACAGTTTAGTGCCCAATATGAAGTCCTAACATTTAGCAGTAAAAGCTATTTTTCTGTGTTTATTATCACTGTTCTTCTGCCGAAATTGTAATTGATCTCATTCCTCAAACCTTCAAATCATACTGCCCTCCCTAAAAGGGTGACATAGTTTGACGATGCTAACTTGATTATTTTTCCTGTTCTATGGTTTTTATATATATGTATTTTTTTTTTCTTGGCTAGGCAGTGGGGCTAAGTGACTTGCCTGGGGTCACACAGCTAGTGAGTTTTATGTGTCTGAGGCCAGATTTGAACTCAGGTCCTCCTGAATCCAGGCCTGGTGCTCTGTCCACTGCGCCACCTAGCTGCCCCTTTATATATATTTTTTTAAAGAACATTTGGATCAATAAACTAGCATTTTTGTTTTTTGTGCAGCTGACACATTCTTTAAGAAATTTTGAGTAGTTAAACAAAGTTGTCTCAGCTAAACATTTTTCTGTTCTTTTCCCCCCCACTGTACTCTAGTTTTTGTATATTTGCTAAAGTCAAGTGAAAACCTACTGCTGTTAACAATTAGCTGGAATGGCTTCTTAAATTAATTCTTACCCTTTGTTTTAGGTACATTCAGCTTCAGCTTTGGAGAGCTATCCGACTCAGCCTGATGGATTTCCTAGTTATCCGTCAGCACCAGGAACCCCATTTTCGTTGCAGACTGGACTTTCCCAAAGTGGGTGGCAGTGAATATAGATTTTAAGTGTTTTTTTTTTTTCCTCCTTTGGAACAAGACCAAATTTTTTTAAGGACTGGTGAACACCCTGGTGGAAAAGGAAGCTGGGGAGAAGTCAGAAAATGAAAATAGGGATGACTCTGGGGAAATTGTAGTGCCTCAGAGTTAAATTGTAGCTGCAGTTTTTCTTTATAGCAGTTTTAAGCATCAACTCTTTCCCATGTAAATAGGACTGACAAAACCATATGGGAAACAATATTACAAAAGTGTTCTGTATTTATCAGCTCCCATTCTATGAAATTTTGGTATGTGTGGTCTGTATAGAAAGAATGGTAAAGAAGAGATTGGATTCTTTACAGCCGAATACAGCCTTAAATCTGCCTGTGATTTCTCTTGACAGTAATAGTTGTGCCTAGGGATTAAAGGTTGCATGTGGCCCTTAGGGTTTTCCCCCTTAGTATGCATGAGTAGTTCCTGTTAGCAGCAATAGGAACTCAGAGTGTATACACGAAGGGGACTTGAGACTCCTTCCTGACACCTTTCCCTCCCCATTCTTGTCCCTGCCCCCAATAGTTTTTAAATACTAATATGAAATGTCTTGCACATACTGCTGAACTAAACTGAAAACTATATTTTGGGCAAGGAGTAACTAGAAAAATGGTGCTTATTCTGGTCATTAGAATGACTATTTCAGGTATTTTGAGTAAAATTATACTTCCAGGCATGCTTTCTTACAGAAATACAACTGAATCTGTAATAATTTGCCTTCAGGAGATGTTTCTTAACAATAGTGGTGACAGCATTTGTACACATAGGAACAATTGACCGGCATCTAGGCCATCTCTTTTGTTCGTTGTACTGGAAATCTTTGGTGAATGTTTACAGTCATGAGATTTAGTATTTCTCTTTGAAAGACATTATACTTAAATACCGAAAAAAATAGTATGGCGACATATAGAAAAAATTTCCTTTGTTAGTGAAATGCAGTGTGCACTCTATTTTAAGTACCTGTGGTAGTGTAACACATGATTGAAAGTCATTTGTTTAAGACAGCTATCTCTCTACCGCATTTTAGAGAAAAACAGTAGAGAGAATGGTCTCTAATCCTGTGATTTACAAGTGTGAATTGTAGAAAATCTACTGTAGAACATTTCAGCACCTAGAGGTTTTACTTTTTTAAAGATGGTCTCTGATGGAAGATGTTGCTAATGTATTTTCCTTTAATGGGGGAACAAACTTTTTAAGCCTATTAATAAAAAAAATCCTGTATGATTAGTTTTTAACACAATTTTTAAAATAAAGTTTACAGACATGGCACAAAGTTTTTAGTGATTACTTTTTTCTAGTTTAAAAAATACTTGAATAAATGTTTGGATACTTAAATGGATTGGGTAAGTGAAACACTTTGTTTTATGCTGTATGTTAGATGGTCTATAAAAAATTACTATATAATGTTCTGAATAATGTATTGCCTATCTGAATTGAATTAATACTTTTAAGTTCATACTTGTTGAGCATAAATTTAAGTAAGCACTTCAGTATAAAAATGAAATTATTCAATTTTGAATAGTTAAAAGAGGGGTGTGCTTATGTCTTAAGTTATTCACCTTTTAGACACCAGAATATGAAACTATAGTTATATAACTACTTAACAAGACAGGGGTAAGGGGTGGAGAACTTCTTTTGAATCCCATCTTTTTTCAATTACTTTAACTCCATAATTATTTCATTTAAAATACATAATGCTAAGCACATAATAGCAGCAGCATACATTTGTATAGTGTTTTAGAGAATTATTTAATGTCCTTTTTCAAACACCCGTGTGAGGTAGTCAGGGCAAGTGTTGTAGCCGTTTGATACATCTTGGAAATTGAGGCACATAGAAGTTTTGGTTTGGCTAAAATCACATGACTAGTAATCTATTTTGGCGTATATTTGACCGAAAGTCTTATGTCTGGCAAATATATCTTGGTATTTATTAGTTCTACCTCTTTCACTGACTTGAGGTGTTCAGGAGTAGGATTGCTGGGCCAGGAAGGTGTGGGAAATTTGTCTGTTGTGAGGGATTCTCTTCTTTAAATGTTTGTTCGTTTCTCTGCTGAAGTTTCTGTGGGTTCCTTGCTGAAAACTTGCTTTTCCCTTCTAAGCCCTAGAGTTGTTATAGCTCCTTCCCCAGCTCTTATTCTCTTTTACTAAGAAACCACAAAAGTTGGATAAGGTCTGGGTGCCTCAGAGGCTAAGAGGGACCATTTGGAACGTGGCTGTAGGCGTCCTCCAAGATTAGCTTTAGAATCAACTTCAGGCATGGCCTGCTCCCTCCTGGATCATCTTTGTGACTGCTCCTCATTCTCCTTTATAGGATCATTTTAGTCTCGCCCCATATGTGTTGCAGCACTGTCTTGGGCCCTTTTCTCTATTCTCTCATGGTAATTTCATCAGTTCCTGTGGGTTCAATTATCTCTATACAAATGACTCCAAATCTCTCCATCCAGTCCTAGTCTGTTGCACTTCTGTTCTTCATCACCAACTGGCTGAGGATTAGAAATTCCCAGCTGTATATCCTGTAGGCATTTTAAAATTGACTTGTCAAAATCAGTCCATTATTTCTGTAGAGGATACCACCACCCTCCTAGTCACCTGTGTTCACAACTTTAGTCGTCCTCGACTATTCCCTCTTGCTTATACTTTGTGCTCTGTAAGTTGCCAAGTTTTGTCAAATCTACCTCTTATCATAACATGTTGAATCCTTCCTCTTTTTTCCACTCACAATAACCACCACCTCTCAATGCCCTCGTCACCTTTCACCTAGACTCCTGGCCTCAAGTCTCCAGTCCATCCTCCAAGGTGGCTGCCAGATTGATATTCCTAAAGCCTAGGTCTGAAATACTGATCAAAAAGTTCGAGTAGATCCCAGTGGTCTCTAGGGTCAGTGTCTTTCATTTAACGTAATTTGCTGATTAGCTAGCTCTGGCCTTTTTTCTAGGCTCACTCATCTCCATAATCTTGGACTGGCTATCCTTCATGGCTAGAATGCATTCCCTCCTCACCATCATCTTAAAAAAAAAAGTGTCTTTTAAAGATCAGCTTTAGTGCCACCTCCTCCACAAGGCTTGTCCTGATCTTGGTTGTTAGAGGCATCTAGGTGGTGCAGTGAAGGAAGTGCTGGGCCTGGAGTCGGGAAGACCCAAGTTCAAATCCAGCCTCAGACATTTCCTAGCTGTGTGACCCTGAGTAAGTCACTTAACCATGGTCTGCTTCAGTTTCCTCAGCTGTAAAATGGAGGTAATAAAACACTTACCTCAAAGGGTTATTGAAAGGATGGGATATTTGTAAAGTGCTTAGCTCAGTGCCTGACAAGTAGTAGGTGCTATATAAATGTTAGCTAATTTTAGTGCTTCACCTCTACCCCTCCCCACCCCCATGCTTTATGGTTATTTTGTAATTCTCTGTATTCCTCTTGTTTCACCTGAATAGATTCTAAACTTGAGAGCACTTTCCTTATCTTTGTAACCCTAGTCCCTTCTGAGGTGCTTAATTGAGTAAATGGATTAGAATTGTCACTGTGATTTTAATAGTTACTTATATTTTAGATGTCATTTTTAATCTGCCATGTTAGCCATACTTTCCTATTCTGTTATTTTATGTTGTGCAGGATGTTTAATATTCATATAGTCAAGCACATCACATTCCCAATAATTTATTTCCTGAAAGAAAAAAAAATTAACTCTCCTGCAAAATTGTGATACTTTGTGTTTTCTTCCATTTAAAAAAATAGTTCTTAAGAAATGTTTCTTTCCATCTGGAATTCCCCAGGGGTGTGTGGAGAGGCATAGGTATAAAAATTAGATCTAAATCTTTAGGGGAGGAGATGGAGAACTAGATGTTTCTTCTGATCCTTATTACCTTCCAGACCTCCCCTAAATAAGAATTATGCAAAAGACATAAAAGCAATTGTAACTTTCTCCGGAAGCTGGGACAGTAATGAGGTAACCTGGTGAACTAAAACGGCAAAGTCCAGTCCACCACCTGCCCAGTGAAACCTTCTTCCCCACCAGCCCTTGCACAAAGGGCAATTTATTTTCTGGGAATCACTTAGCATTTCCCTTGCTCAACTCCTTTAGTCTCCCAGGATCCTTCCCCACCTTCCTTCAGTCCGCTATTCTATGGTAACAAGTAACAAAACTCAACTCCGCCCACCCCCCTTCTGTGACTAGGAGGTAAAGGCCGAGGAAATCAAGCATGCTTTTCTTTGGGGGCAGGAGTGGGTGGGGAGGAAAATAGTGCACCTTGCATGCTGATTGGCTGCAGTATTCATCCAAGGAACAAAAGGAAAAAGGGAACTGGGAAAAGCACCGAAGTGTGTGAGGCTCTGCCAGGCCAGAAGAAAAGGGGATAGGCCTCCAGTTGAGATAAGTTCTACCTTCTCCCACTTCTCCCCATGTCACTTGGGGCAGAGACAGTCCACTGACAAGTGAATTCTCTAATATGAGAAGAGGTTAGGACAGCTTTGAGATCTAGCTTTCTGAGAGACTGCCATCAAAAGAGGAGTCAGAAATTAAGATAGAGAAATATAAAAGGGGGTAAAAACAATTGAGATTGCTAAAGATCTCAGTAGGAAGAAAATTCTGTTAACCTTGAACACAAGCAGATAAACCAATAAGGACAACATTAAAAAGAATGGGATATTGCCTCCAGGACATCTAAATGATTCCAAATGTCTCTGAATAAATACTGCAAAGCAGAAGAAAATGAATCAACATCTGATGAAGCAGAGGACCTTGTGGATTCCTAAGAGAACATGGAACCACAGCAAGATGTTCCTGAATACTTCAAGACAAATAAGAATCATGTAAGCAAAACTTATGGTTTGCACAGAGGAAATAATTGCTAACAACAGGAAAACCTGAATTTCCATTGATGATTCTCACCAAAGAAACAGCAGCTGATTGGGAAATGCAAAGGTACATGTGAAAAACAATGTAGGGGCAGCTAGGTGGCACAGTGGATAGAGCTCTGGGCTTGGAGTCAGGACCTGAGTTCAAATGTGGCCTCAGACACTTGACATGTACTAGCTGTGTGACCTTGGGCAAGTCACTTAACCCCAATTGCCTCACCAAAAAAAGCAAAAAAAAAAAAAAAGAATGGAAGAAGAAAAGTAAAAGACAATCATTAAACCATCTCAATATGAGCAAAACATTGAAATTCATGCTAGGATTCTCTGGAATCGTATTTTTAAGACAAGTTAATATTGTTTTAAGACAAGTAGATAAAATTGTAGTAGCCTGCAAGCATCTACACAAAGTCCACTTACTTTGCTGTGTGTCTTAAACAACATATGCATTCAGGTGATGTGAAAAACCATCAGAAATTGGTCAAAATAGATAAAAAAGTTGGCTTCTTATTTAAAAAAAATCACTGAACACATGCAATACATTATGCAAAGTAGTTGATGGGCTGTTACCATCAGGTATAAAAGTTATTGCCCATTTATATTGTGTTTTTAACTTAAGGGAAAATTGATTAAAATCTGGAAGTTTTAAAACACAAAGCAAACCTTTTAACAATACAGGTTTTGATAATCAGATATTTTAGTAAGCACCTACTATGTACCAGGCTCTGTGCTAAGTACTAGAAATTCAAATGCAAATGAAACAAGATGCTTACATTCTAACAATAATGGTACAAACATCCATGAGCTCATTGGTAATATGCAGATGTAGTCTTGGACTATCTCAGGTTCAGCTCCTTTGGGGCCAGCATTTGCCCCAAACTGTAGTGCACAAATCCCTACTAATATTTCTTTCACCAGCCCAGAAGACAAATAAATTGCATATCAAAGTAAATAACAGTTAAGTAACAAGGGAAACCCACCTATGCACAGAGTATACTCTCTCAAAGTTTGCCATTCCTTCCAGCAAGAGAGTTGATAACAAAATTTACCATAGCCATGGCAACACATGATATATTCTATGCGTAGACCTTTCAAAGTTCACGTCGCAGGGATACCTCAAATAACATATCCAAATAGAGCCTGTTACCTTCTTTCCCCTACTTGAAACCTATCACTCTTCTAAACTTCACTTTTTCTGTTGGAGGTACTTCCATATTTTTGTTAAGGTACCATTATCCTTCTATTCTGGGTTCATAGTATTGCTGTTACCTTCTACTCTTCATTCTCCCTCATCCCACATATCCACCCATTTGCCAGATTTTGACATTTCTACCTGTACATCACTCACATCCAATAGCTTTTCTCTCACATGGAACCTCAATTCAGGGCTCAATTCATCACCTCTCCTTTAGATTACTT